GATCACTAAAACTTTATATTTGGATTTCTAGAAGTAAATACGGTAATCTTTACCCGTAATCTCGCACCCCTCAATATAAAGCTGGATCCCCCCCTAGTTTGATAACACTTGTACAAGTTCTCAAGTGTTAATAAAACTTCTTGTTTGATCCAAAATTGAATGTTTTCCAGGTTTGAGGAAGCAGTTGAAAGAGCTCATTCAAAATTGGAGGCTTATGAGATCGTAACCTACCTCTTTAAACTGTGGTGCGTATTAAAAGAGCAACATCATTACACTGCATAAGTAACGCATATTTTTTTTTGCACACACAATTTATAAGTTATCATTCTTATTACAATCACTAAGGCAAGCTGATTGTCTAGTGTTGTGTCCTCTATGACTATGAAGCACGATTCATATGTCACCATCTTAACTCTTAATGCCCGCAAGAAGTGCTTAGTCCAAATGAAAAAGGCCATAAACTGTGTTAGTGTTACTACCAAAACACCCGAAACTACCATGTTCTGGAGTACCAGATTCGTAAATAATACCAGCATAGTGTTCTGTTGAACTTACGGAATAATACGGAAGAAATCTAGACTGCAGGGTTATTTTTTATTTTTATTGAGTGCCAAGTTTACAGGATTTAGGGCAATTTTGTAGTAAAATTTTACATTCATCATAGTGTTTAAGTGCGATCTATATCATGAAGGATCTGTGCATAGAAGTTTTGTTTCGCTCCTATAACAGCTGTTAATAATTTGAATAGGATCACATGATAAGTTGGCTGTTACAAGGCATCTTTTTGGTTCAACCACGCTACCATATGGTGTAATTTCAGGGAGGAGACAAACAAAATATAATAATAAGCTAGTTGTGAGAATTATTGTGTAAGCCACTTCCTTTAACCTTCTGCCTTGTTTCAGCAATAAGACGAGTCAGGCCTTGAAGACGCTGAATGTGAAGCACCAACCAGCAGCCGTCGCTGAGCAAAGATTGTTGTTGTTTAGCCGAGTGAGAAAAACGCTTAACTGTGGCATGAAACTTCTGGGACTAAGACCTCTCACAGAGATGTAGACTCTCGGAGCAAAGCAAAGTTGTGAAGCTGTCGGTAGTTTCAGTTCATGTCGGAGCTAAGAGACCACTGGCCATGTTGTGAGAAAAATACTTTTCTACTGTTCCTGCATTGGCTCATAAAATCATTAAATAATAGCTTGTAGTTAAACAAATCTTTTTAGTACACCCTATACTCCATACTGTACCACGATCACTGTGTAGTAGGGAGAGTTCTGCTGTGTATTTCTTACAGGAGTTTTAGTGACACTAGTCCAGTTCTTAATACGTCACCAAGTTCTTTCCGGTCTCAAATTACTCAGTAAATGTTTGGGTTTATTTTTTAAATCACTAAATAATATGTGACAAATTTAAAATTGGTCTGTCTTAATTTTTTTTCGAGATTTGTCTTCAGTTTAAAACAAAATTGTGCTTAGAAAATGCATATGGTTTTTTTTTATTTGTCCAATGTTGGGAAAATCTGCCTCTGCACACCCAACACTACAACATTAAACCATTAAACGTTTTCTTGCAATGTTTTTAAGGTTACATTCTATATATCCGACTAATAAGAAATTCATTTTTGCTTATTCTCTTACTGAGCAACCGAATACGTAGGTTTTCCGCAATGGTAACTGCCAAAAAAGGATTTTTTTGTAAAAAAAAATTAAAACAGATAATATGAAGCAGAACACAAAGTCTTATCCATATAGGATTGCTGAAAATTAATATTAACATTTATGCTTATTCTCCATAAGATTAACATTGAGTTTATCTCGGCAAGAAAACATACTAAAGTTATTACTTTCAATATATGATTATATCTGTAACAAATTGGAACAAAACAAAGACTCAATATACTAAATTGTTTGTTTTTTTTCTGCGGAATCTAATGGTGAAAAAATAAATTTTAAATTATTATAAACTTTGTAAAAAATATTTGAAAAACTTCTATTTGAGGTCAAAACCTTATTTTTTTAGCACATAACACCCCCAAAATCACTATTTGGATTACGTTGTCTGTCTGGTTTTCATTTTCAAGATTGGAAATATAGTTCTACATGACGTGTTTACCTTTTTTGGTGGAAATCGGCCAATCCTGAAGTATAAATTCACGAATTTGCAGTCATCTTGTAGATTTGAGGACCTCACAGTGGCCATTTTGGAAAATCTGCAACTTCCGGTTGTCCAATTTTGGTAGACTTTTTTCCTGGTACTTACTACACTGTTACTACCATTTAAAAACCTTTTGTTGGAATTTGCTCTAACTTGGAGGCTTTTATGGAGGCTATGGACCCGTCTACACACTCGTCCGGTAAACATTTATTTTCAAGACTAGTAACGTAATACTAATACTGTATACTATTAAACTAACTCAAACTCCATATTTTTTACGAAAACATTAATTTCTTCAATACTAAGGGGAGAAAGTAAAAGTAAAACTAAATGATAAATGATTTATTTAGCCATTCAGTATACAATAAATACAATATGCATTGTCAAAAAACAGCCAAAATAAACAATACAGAAAGCTGCAATAAAACTAAAGACTATAAAATCAGCAAAAACCATGCAGGTGCACAAGCAAGCAAGATAAATAAATAGTATACCTTTCAGATTCCTATTCTAAGGTACAATAAATGGGCCATGCTTCATTGCAACATAAAAATATTCTATTTTATACAAAGGGTATGCCAATAGCCACTTCTTCAGAATAATTTTAAATTTTGAATTTGGAAGTGATTTCACTTAAATATAAACGTTGATAACAGTCATGATCTGCAACTCACAAAACAAAGGTTTACAATGAGCCTGATACTCAGTGTCCTACAGATTACCCTGACTGCCTTCTTCTGTAGCAACTGAATCTTCTGAGTCTGGGGGGAGTGGCCCCATAGCCTGGTTCCATAAACAACATGAGCCTGAAAGAAAGCAAAAAAAGCAAGTCTTACAAAATCAAAGGGCATCTCGTATGAGAGCTTACGAAGCACTGAAGCAGACACGTTACTCTATTTAACTTGGTGCACAGTGCTTCAATGTGGTCACTCCACCCAAGCTCAGAGTCAAGGGTGAAACCCAAAAATTTTACTGCCTCTTGCTTATTCACATTCTTGCTAAGACTGAAAAGGATTTCCTGTGTTTTCCCTTGGTTAAGAGCTAGTCTATTGCCCGAGAACCAATCAGTGGCAGTATTAAACATTCTACTTACAGCTAGTTTAGCAACTACAGGATCTAAATCGCTAGCAAACAGGGTTGTGTCATCTGCGTATAGCAGCACATCATTTGACACATTGTAATAAATGTCATTCATGGCCACAATAAAAAGGAAAGGCCCAAGTATCGAGCCCTGAGGGACCCCATGCTTCACTTGAAGCGGACTGGAATGGCCACCAGCCCAGCTTACCACCTGAGACCTGTCTTCAAGATATGAACGGACCACCCTGAGTGCAAACTCCCCCAGTCCGAGTCCCTCAAGTTTATCTAAAAGAATATTATGCGGCATACAATCGAAGGCGCGAGATAAATCACACAAGAGAACAGCAGTAGAAGACTGCCTCTCGAAAGCGTCCAAAACAACTGTATGAGGGAGTCCACAGCGGTGACTGTGGAAAAGCCTCTCCGGAAACCATGCTGAGCCGGAACAAGGAGACCATGCAACTCAAAGTGGCCATACAACTGGTTTAACATTAAACCCTCAAGGATCTTACTAAAAACTAGCAACAGAGATACAGGTCTATAACTAGCCATGCTATTTCTGGGCTTCTTTGTACACAGGTACAGTCCTTGCCCTTTTTAGGACTTCCGGAAAACCCCCTTCTAAAGGCAGCAATTGAACAGATGAGCTAGTATTGCGGCAATATATGGTATTATTTTTTTCAAAAACGCAGTGGACATATCAAACACATCCTTACTACATGATGGTTTAAAACTATTTACAACATCAGTGGGTGTAACCATCATCCACTCAAAGGCTACTTGTGACATAGGAATATAATTTAAATAATCCACCTTATTTCCTACAATACCACTCATGATTGTCTTCGAGTCGAGGAAAAACAAGTTGAAATCCTCCGCAGAAGCAAAGTCGGTCTCAACATCACTTCTGGGACTGGACCTGCTCCGGTTGATAAGACCCCAGCTGCCTGGCAAGGGTTGGCAGCCCTTGCTACCATGTCAGCAGCCGCAGACTGTTTGGCCACTCGCAGCTGCCTACGATATTCCTTTCTCAAACCCTGCAGATGAGGGAGCATGGACGGATCTTACTTGGTCAAGTCACGCACAGACAAAATATATATTGATTGAAATTGGCAAGCTCTGTAGAGTACCAATTTTTAAGTTTATTAGGCCTATTCACACTCGACAATGTACTGCCCATAGGGCTTACCGGTACCGTCTTTTGAATTAGAGGAAAATGCAGATCAAAATGTATCCTTGAATTTCAAAAAGAAATCCGTAAAGGCCACCGCCACCTCCTAGTCCGAACTAGCCTGAGAGTTGAAACATGGACCATTTCGTCCCCGTGTCTACATTCAATTAATTGGTGTATTATAACCAATGAACAAAGTATTAACCAATTAATTGGTTAATACTTTGTTCTACTGGTGAGGTAACTTTTAAGCCAGTTGAAGCTATCTCTTATTTTCAGTAATTCCATTTTTAACAATTTTCTCTCATCCTATAATTTTTATATCCCAGCGCACTGATATCAAATTTTGATGACGTTGTGATAATGACGATGCTATGGAACCAAAAGCTGTCGACCTTATGGGAATATTTTGACGTAAAGGGGTATTGGCGTTCGAGGCCAAGGGAGAATGTTTAATCTATGGCTAGAGGTTGCCGATTCTATGGTCTGGTCACCGACCCCCACGAAGGAAGAAGCAGACGACAACGGAAACGAACGAACGAACACGGTAACTGACGACACTGGGACACTCAGTAGTCAGTAGGTGTCAGTTTTTCGTTTTCAGTTTTGTTTTGAAAAACAATAATTTTAGGCTAGTAGAGGAGAGGGCTAGGTCTATTTAAGTTTGTGAAATTGATAAGATAGGAAGATAAAAGCAAACCAAGAGACACTTTAGTAACAAGTTAGAGTAGTCGATTTTGTATGAATTATAGTGTCTTTGGTAATAGATTTTTAAATCCACTTGAAGGTAACTAGTACAACTTAACCATACCTAAATTAATGTACCGGAATATGCCTTGGCCTACCGATAGGATAAACCCCTAGTAAAACTTTTTTTTCAATTTCACTGTAAGTTAGGCTAGTATATTTTAAACCATGAACAATCATATCTCAATGATAACAGAATTGTTTGTTTTCAATAACTTACAATAGGCTAGTTCACTATTTTAATTGAAACATTACAATGCAGTTAAGTTAGTCTATGGCATTGCCAAAATTTTATGGCAGGCGGGAGAAATTACACCCTGGGTAATTCTGAGCAATTACTTGGTCAACCCCAAACTTTTTCATATTTTAACACGGTCATTTTAAGGATGTTCTCAGAAAACAAGAAACATACAATTCAAGCCCCACAAGGCCATCGTACAGGTTGCCGAGCAATAAGAAGGTTCAAAGTCCACGCGATTACAGTGGCTTGGGGGGGAGAAGATGCGCGGAAGGCCAGTTGTGAGACAGTACCGTTAAGCTAGGTTAGGTTAGTTCATAACCTAACTTAACCTTGCTGGACTTGAATTATATGTTTCTTGATTTCTGAGAACATCCTTATGACCGTAGTAAAATATGAAAAAGTTTGGAGTTGACCGAGTAATTGCTCAGAATTACCACACCCTGATTTAGGCTACATCTTATGTTTGATAAAGCAAAAGATTATTTTGGAGAATATTAGGCCTATACTTCAGGCAATGGTCACTTTTTTGTTTATTAAATTATTTTAGTAGCCTCTTGCTAAGTTATGCGTTTGTTTTCAGATGACGTCAGTAACTAAAGTATCATGTAATCGAAGCTTCGAGGGCCATCAGTATGTGTTTTCCCATCATAGGTAAGCTCTAAAACTTGTTTTATTGATTGTAACTCATATAAAGTCCTTCCACCGTCACTGTTGAAACTCAAGTTTTTTAGAGAATTTTGGAAACACGATGTAAGTAGTGGTGAGTAGGCCTGCCTATACAAAGGCTGTAAATGCTAAAACATAAAATAGCTGGGGGCTAACTTAGTACAAAACTAGAATGCATCTACAATTTTGTAGTTCTGAACAGTATAGTCTAGTCAAATGATCGTTAGTCTAGTTCCTCATTTCATTCAAAAGTCTTACACATTGAGTAAACAAACAGTCAATTAAAATTAGGTTTTTAAAAATAAGTTAAATCAATGCTTTAAGGTTCTAAAATAACTTAGACTAGGCCTATTCCTTAAGAGCGCAAAACCTGTTATACCTACCTTCCTATTAATTTAATTATTCATTAATTAATCATTCTGTATAAAAACTTAGTTAATATTACCGGTATGTAGACAAATTGACCAAAAATATTCTTTAGGTATTTTTGTTGTCTCTAGCTTGATTTATTTAAAACTCATTCTTCTTTTTTAGTTCGGAGTTGAAATGCGAGATGAAATTTGCAATTTATCTTCCTCCGCAAGCTGAGTCAGGGGATGTCCCTGTTATTTATTGGCTCTCTGGTCTTACTTGTAACGAGCTCAACTTCGTTCAGAAAGCCGGAGCGCAGAAGTATGCGGCCAAACATGGAATCGCAGTGGTCTGTCCTGACACGAGTCCAAGTAAAGAGTTTATTTTAACTACACTAGAAGTTAAATTCTTTATTTGTTAATCCAGTCCTTTGTTATTAATGAGTAAAAAGAATTTGTAAGGGCAGCAATGATGATAGTGAAGTTCCCATCTTTTTATTAGCCTAAAGGCTGTTGATAGTTTTCATTCTAAATAAATATTAATGTTTATGAACCACATAGTAAAAATGTGGTCTTGGTCAGGGAAATTCACAGATATGATTTAACCCTTTTAGTGCCAACGTCCTGTTTTACGGACGTCTTGAAATACAGTGCAATAGTGCCAACGTCATCTTAAACGGACGTGAGCACGGGGGTTCGAAAAGTGCCAACGTCCGTTTAACAGGACGTTGCTGGTTTCGGTCGAAAAATGCCAACGGCCGTTTTTAAGGACGTCTGATAAAAAGCCCATACATGGGTTAAAAATTACAAAAACTTCCACACCATTGTAATTGTTGTTATCAGAAAGTAACGTTCTTTCGTATAACACCGAATATAGTATATATTTTCTCAGTAATATCGCGATGGCAGTGTAACAAAGTTGCTCTATGTCAGATGGTGACGTCAGGACTATGACACAATGTCAGCTGGTGGACGAGTTTGTTTGTTGTTGTGTTGATTCTGTGTGTTTGTTTACCGAATCGTTGTGGTTAATTGTTGTTAAAATTGTTGCGTTTGCAGTGCCAAGAGTACTCAAAGTGGAGGAAAAAGAAAGAAATCTACTTATGTGTAGGAATTGCAAAAAAGGATTACACACAAAATGCTTCCCGTTTCATCGTTGTTGAGTTGTATATTAGGCCTATTGAGGCTATGTACATATATATATTTTTATTTAGACTAATAACAATTTGAACTTTTAATTTTTTATTGCTTTACATTTAGTTAGTGCATGCTTTAGGCCAAGGCCTAATATGTCTTGAAATATTTCAATAGCCTATAGGACTAGTCAAGAAGAACCCTGAACTTTTTGCAAAATGCGACAAATGTGCGGAAAAAACATAGTTTTTACATTTTTTTGTATAGTTCAGTTATTTTTTTACCTACAATGATGAAATTTCAAATCTAAGTAGAGATTAGATAGTAGTTGGAATTCAAATGGCACATGAGAAGTGAAGTAAAAAACATTTTAAGACTATGCGGAGCATGCTGAATGAATTATTTACGATTTTTTCGAAGTAAGTATGTTATAAATGTAAATTTATAAAAATAAAGGTGTTACTTGCATGTGCATGTTATTTTTTACATTATACTTGGTAGTTTTATCATTAAAATAAAATTAATTTGGTTAAAATATCTTGTAAAATAACGAAGCTATATATTTTTTTGTAAAATCTTGTAAAAATGCCCAAAATTGCATGAAATTTTTAGTGCCTCCATATGGAAAATATGTGGTATTTGGGTTGCGAATTTTTCTTGGATGGAAGGTATGTGTGGTAACAACTTTAAAAAAAAACTCTGGCACTAAAAGGGTTAATTAATTAATTTGAGAAATTGTCGAGAAAACCTTGTTCGGCAAGCTGAACATACAACGCACAAACACAACATAGGATAACGCACAAACATAGGATAAGATCTAGAAATTTAAACAGCCAAATATTCTATTCAGACATTCTACAGGAGGGTGCAACATTCCTGGGGAAGCCGATAAATGGGACTTTGGAGTCGGAGCTGGGTTCTATGTGGATGCTACTCAAGCTCCGTGGGACAAAAACTTCCGCATGTACACTTACGTCACCAAAGAACTGCCAGAGGTCATCGCTGATAAATTCCCTGTAGACCCGAAGAGACAAAGCATCATGGGACACAGGTAAAAGATTTTATCAGTTGTCGTTGTTAACATATAAATGGAGCGATGCAGACTCACTGTAGTGCGTAGTAAGGGAAAGATGTAATATGAGTAGGATGAATTATGTAAAGCTTTGTTGACTACCTACGACTAACTGATTCTTTAGCCAAGATTATTTACTAATACCCCCGCCGCAGCAAACCTGCAGACTAAGCGAATTTCCATTTGCCTGATTGGATTTACACTAAAATGTCTCCTTAAAAATGTCCCATTTATTCCCTATTTAAATAACATTAGTTTAACGAGTACTTAGGTTTGCTGCAACAGGGAGGGTAAAAAGGTGTTTTTTGTAAAATGTTAGTATTATAGTATGAAATGAATGCATTTTTCCAAATTTGATCAAAATATGTTAGGCCTATCTATTATTTGTTTTTTTAAGCTCTACAAAATGGTTTAAAAGGATTATTGTGAAATTTTGTGTTTTTAGGGTCAAAAATGGGAAAAACCTATTTTTACCCCATAAAACCCCCCATAAACCCCCGTTCCCATAGTCCGATCATGCTGGTTCGCGAACTCAATCAAGTTTATCCCGCCTTACACCTTCAAACCAAATTTGATCAAAATCGCACAAAAATTACTCAAGTTATCGTGCGGATGGACACACACACACACACATATACATATATATATCTATATATAGATATATAAAAATTTGAACGAATGGTGTTTTTGGCCTCTGGGGACATCAAAATGAAAAAGTAAATCGGTCCCGGGCTTAGGTCTTACCATGAGACCTACGGTAATAGCTACTTCCCTATAAAGAAATTCGCTGTTATCTATTACAAAAAGCTTATGTGTAAATTTGAAAACAACATCTCTTGAGTAGTGTGACTACAATATAGTTGAATTTGTTAGTTTTGTTGTTTGTTTTTACGTTATGAATATTTAAATTCTTTATGAACTAAAGTGACAGTGAAAAATTGTTAAGACCTAAAACTTGTCTCAAATCTGCAAAAGCTATTTTTTCCCCCGATGATCATTGTAAATAAATCTAACAGCAGAAAAACAGTCTGAAATGGTAACGATTAACTGATCAACACATTATCTTTCACTCCTTAACATGGATGCAAAAATTTCCCTCTGATTTTACCTTTTGTCACTATTAATATCTTGGATAGGCTATCAAATTATTAAGAAATTAAAAGTTCACAATTTTGATATATGACCAAATTTTAATGAAAAAACTAATTGTTTAGCATGGGAGGTCATGGAGCTTTGATTTGTGCACTGAAGAACCCCTACAAGTACGCTTCGGTGTCTGCTTTCTCCCCCATATGCAACCCCTCAGTGAGTCCTTGGGGTAAAAATGCACTTTCAGGTTACCTCGGCTCTGACACTGACGCCTGGAAACAATACGACGCTACTTGCCTGGTGTCAGCTTACGATGGTCCCGTCATTGACATCCTCATTGATCAGGTAGCCTGTTTATTGCCTCTCTAATCTATTGCTTTTTTTTAAATAGCATTTCTTAAATTTTGAGAAGTAATGTAAGGCTGTGGCATTTACGTACTGTTTTGTTTACCCCTACTTTTATTAAATTGAAAGAGATTTAACAGGAGACTTACCTTTGTTTATAGTCCAAAATGTTGTCAACAAAATGGTGCTGGATTTGTTGCAGGCACAACTAGTCACAACCTTTTGCTAATACAATGTACTCCCTCTTATCAGGACACCTTATACCCGGACTACACTTGGCAGAAATAACAACTCTTTAACCGGACAATTTTTATTAGCACATTGGTTTAACTGGACTAGATCGGTAGGAAGTGGGCGGTACTGAAACGACTGTTCTCGTTGGAAAGATGTGAGACCAGTGATTACGTGTCTAAATACAATGCTCTCCTAAATTTAAGTCGAATATCACAGCAAACGGTCCGTTTTAATGAGTTTTTGGGGACGTCGGTTTAACCGGAAACCCCGTTATCCAGACTGGCCTCGGTCCCGAGGAGTCCAGATAAGAGGGAGTCTACTGTATATTCTTTTGAGTTTCATTTCATTTATTGTGTCATGTTTAATGTTCGACCAATTGAATTTGCTTTGATATTTTGGACAACAGACAGGGGTAAGAAACCCATTTTCCCATTTAGAAGATCAACGTAAAGTATTTTAATACATTTCATTGAAATGGCAACCATACAAAGTAGGTATTTTAAGCCAAGTATGAATGGAGATGAGTGTAGGATGAGTGGCGCGATCTTGTAGTCTTGTTGGTGACTGAGGCTGACATATTCCTTAGTTTCAGCTGTTAATTAATAGCCCATACAGCCGATGGCAACTAAGGGACCTACAGTTTATAGTGAAATCCGAACCAAATTAATGCCTTGGTATTAACGAATTGGTCTAATTATCAGGATAATACTGTGGATAGTCATAGTACTCACTAGTGCAGATCTTAATCCACACCAGGGTGAATTGCATCCACAGTGCATGCCTGTAAATAATATCCACAATCTGTGACCTAGTAGCTGGATTACAGGACGACGCCACCGTCCCAGTCATGTTTAACATGGTTAAATTTTAATTTGCTTCTTTGGTCTTTAGTTTGACTCAATAAAATAACTATAAATAATATTATAGTTATTAATAATAACTTAGTCTTTTCTCACATATTTAAAAAAAACCTTTTCCATCCGATTGTTTTGATTTCCAATCCAATTATATTGGATTATATTGAGGGTATTGAGACTAATTATTAGCAAGTTCCAATCGACCCAATTCTACTCATTCTGGGATTAGAATATAATGTAGTTGTCATCCAAATAAAAAAAATGTATACACATTATATTTTAAATGGTCTGCAACATAACTTAGTCAGCTTAATACATGGCGTTTTAAAGATATTGTGATGAAAATGTTTAAGGGAGCTGATGATGAATACATCAAAGCTGGTGAACTCTTGCCGGAAAACTTCATGAACGCTTGCAAGAATGCGCTGGTACCTGCTGTGCTCAAAATGAGGGAAGGCTACGACCATAGCTACTTCTATGTCGCATCATTCATCGAGGAGCATTTTGAATTCCATGCAAAACACTTGAAAAACTAACCAATTAATATTTTAAGACTATACCTTGCGTCTATTATTGTCGATTATATCTTGTTTATTTTACTAAATTGTATCGGTGTTATTCAATTCCTCTTTCCACTTAGAAAAGTTTTGAAGAGTATTTGTTGTTGTAGATCCTCTCCTATCTGACCACCTCAGGACCAAACATAAACCAACTAGCTAACTGTGAAAAAGGCAACTCAACCCAGAATAATACTACATAATTGATTAATGCTATTTTGAAAAGGATAAAATCTAATTCTACGTTTGAGTTGTAAAAACACATATTAATAAATCCACTAAACACAATAAAAGAGTTATATAGATGTTGCCAACTAAACTAAAACATAGCAGTGGTGTACACAGAAGAACATAATGTATCTAATTGGATAAAATGGATATGGAAGTTGATTCACTGTGAGACAGTGGAAAGAGTAGGACTTAGTAATGTGTTAAATACATTTTTGTTGTTAGGCGTACATTTTGTTGTTGAGTCAGTGGATCAGTTGGTTGTGCCAAGGACTTCGGGCCCAAGGCAGCGATGTGGGTCTGGATCACGGTAGCTATCACTACTTTTTCAGTACAGTTCACCCTTGTACCGGTTCACCTCTTGCTTTGCTTAATACGTTGCACAACCGCCAACCTATTAAAAAAATAATTTTTATTTTTGAATTCTGAAAAGCAGCCTGATAAAATGAGGACTGGAAACCTGAAGTGAAATATGAATGGTTTCATTGTATTGAAGTATAATTGTTGGCAATGTAGAGTAAGGGATCTTGCTACCACACACTGTGGTATTGTGAATGTCTAGTTTTTCATGATATAGTACTTGTCGAATTCGGCAGCTAGAAAATAGTATAACCATGTTACTAGTCCTGAAAATAGGTGTTTACTGGACCAGTGTGGTCATTCCCATGCAAGACGAAGTTGCGTTCGGGATTACCATACAAATCCGGTAAACATATTTTGGACGAGTGACGTACGATGTTTTATGCCATACTACTCTAAGAAGCTAGCTTAACAATAAAAAATCTGTACAAATCCTTATTCCCAATCACTATTCCTATCCTAAGAGAGGTTATGTTTTTGTTTAAAATCACTCATTGCCAAATATAATCAGCTGTTTGGTGTCCTGAAGAGTGCAGCCAAATTTGGCAGCTAGGAAAACTGGCTTTTACCTCAAGTGTCTGTTAAAAAAATCACAACACTCAAAAGATTTACTGGAGTATGTAGTAAAACAATTAGCTTACTCAAAAGACACTTACTGTTTAACTTAAATTATTATTATTCTCTGAGCTTCTGCAAAATCACTCAGGTTTACCTTCAGCTACACAGCTTTAAACTTTCATAATTCGGTAACAATAGTTAGGCAAACCTTCCGCTTTATTTTGTAGTGGTCTACATCTTCTGGGATGGCATTATAATGCCTAAATCCAATAGGCCCTAACAATATATATTTTAAAATAGTATAATACCACGTTACTAGTCCTGAAAATAGGTGTTTACTGGACGAGTGTGGTCATTCCCATGCAAGACGAAGTCGCATTCGAGATTACCATACAAATCCAATATGATATTTTTTCGATATTTTTTAGTGAGTCGGTGGCTCAGTCGGTAGCGTCGCGGACTTCGGACCCAGGGCAGCGATGTCGTGGGTTCGGATCCTGGTCACTGCCGATAACATTTTATCAGTACAGTTCACCTTTGTACTGTACTGGCTCACTCCTTGCTTTGCTGTAAACGATCCACGCACGGGCGCTTAGTCTATGTGGACGGGCAAATGCAAGGTAAAAGAGGCCGCCAACCTCTTTAAAAAAAAAAAAAAAAAAAAGCACCTTTACTGTACATACACATTGCATCTGGATCTAGTATCGAACAAGTGAGCTTCTGTTTTGTGTGCGATCGCAACTCAGCTACCCAGACTAAAGCTGATAGGTTAGAAAGAGAAGACTCAGAGTATATTTCAGAAATGTGTTTAATTATTTAGTTGAATACTTATAAATGCCTTTATACATACTAGAGTACAGCAGAGCTAAGACCTTGTATTGTCGCCCTCATTAGAGCTCAGCAGCACACGGTGCCCGCACACTCTGCATGATATGGATACAGATCACCACCCTGCTATCACTAACAAAAATATCCCTTTGAGCACAATCTCTAAACCCGAAAGATATTTACAAGCCAAATTCATAGACTATTTTCGACTACCTTAAAAATATCGCTACTTAATTTAGAGGCAAACGAAAAGCCTAAATTTGAATTTCACAAGCTAATGAAGAACGTGACTAGGATTGAAACTGTGCTTTTAAACATTTTGTTATTGTCATGTATATAAAAACTCCGGCCGCGATGCACTGAATGTTAAAAGATCACTGGATTTGTAAACGATACGTTGTTTATTTTAGTAGTAAGAAACACTTTTGTAAAAATACTTCTTCGTTTTTAGCTGCAAGCTGAATTTTTTCAGCTGTTTCAAGTCACATCAATATAGATCACTTCATTGAATTAAATTAACTATGAGTCATTATATTGATATTTTGTGATTTAATCATTTGTTTTGTAAGAAATATTTCAAAGCTGCTTGGGACTTTCAAATATGAAAATTGTATATGTATAAAAGATAAGTTGAGTTTTCCTAAAGTTATACTAAAAGATAATCATTTTTGACGATGTCAAGCCATGTTTACAATTTATTGTTAGCTTTGATCCGAGAAATTATTTTTTAGCTTTGCTATAGTGTACAATCCATTATACATGTTTCCTTACTGTAAAAATAATCGTAAAGTTAAATATTGCAGTTATAAAAATGTTTGCGAGTTACAAAGGTCAGCAAACATGGTTTAAAGTTATGTTTTTTTACATATTCTAAGATAGCTTTGCAGATGTAACAACGCAAATCAAACAAACTTTCAATACCTTATGTTAATGTTGTAAAAGCATCCAGTGACAAATTCTAACATTCAAATTATGTGCAATACATAAAGGAAACAATGAGAGGTTATCTAAAAAGGCACATTTCAGCAATATGGGGTAGCAATGATTCATTCACAAAGTTTAAAAGGAAATACTTCATGGAGTAAAAGAAATTATAAATTAGTACACAAAAGTGAGTGGAAGTGCAATAAAATATTATAAATTGTAAGAAATAAAAATAAATAAATAACTGACCTACAAATAACATTCTCAAAATCAGGGGATTTTCACTTTTATAATTTAATGTTAAACTACTGTATTAAAAATTTTAAGTTATTTTTTCTATTAACTTGATACTCTGCTAACCAGAAAACACTAAATTACAAATTGGAAATATATTCGCTCTTATCACTTACAAACAAAATAAGTACATCAATTATTTAAAAATATGTTGAAGCTTTATTCAATATTTCCTAAAGGACTTTGTTTAGCTCTTACTTGTATGTGTTTAGTGGTTTCACAGAAACCAAAATGTCACAAGACATTACTTATCAACTATATTTGATACATTTTCTTTTGTTTAGGTTAAACCATCATAATTCTTATGTTAATTTTTCCGCTATCTATAAATACCATAAGAGTCCTTTCATAACTAGCAATATGGTAATAACATAGGTACTTATGATAAAAATAATTTTGCATTTAAGTATTCTTGAACTAAAACAAATTATTTCAGTTATACAATAGTATTTAAAAATTATTTTTCATAGTACTTTGTGGTAGATTTATTTAAAGCTTTTCAAAAAAACCATTAACGTTACCAGCACTGAAATCTATCTGTAATAAATAGCTTTTATCTGTCAGGTCGTATGTCAATCTCACAAATAAATTGTTGTGCTACTAATGAAGAAAATATTACGATACAAACAGATCGGCTTGATAAACAGAAATATGTACAATTATTATTTCATAAATTTGTACAATTCCAAATACAACTTAACATAGCGTATAAAAATGTCCTTAAAAATTTGCACATGTTTTACATAAGTAGCTAGTCTATATTCTACTTTTTAACTTCGTACGGATAACAAGAGTCGGAGGGAAGCCTACAAAAAATACCTGCTCCGCCAGAGTGAGCTAAAATCATCAAGCTCGATAAGACAAGAAAGAAAGCACAAAAATCATACAACTTTCAACAAGCGCTCCACCTTAGGGGAGTAAATGGCCTCGTCTACAACATCCCACGACAATATCGCATAGAACATGGAACAGAATGGTACACAACATCGCTTATAACTTAGAACCTATCTGTACAACGTGACGAGACACCGTGTGCTGCTGAATCTCGTAGTATAATTTCATATATATATATTTACTTATATATATATATATTTATATATTTTACCTAAAGGTAAAATGGTAATAGAAATTTTAAATTATATTTGTCAAATGTAAAAAAATGAGCATTGACCGCCACAAACCAACAAACGCACTTATAGCACCACACTAACGTTCTTTGGAGTCACGCGTAAGCGAAACACTCACTGGAACAGAGACATACAAATAAGTTAACACTGGAAAACAAAGTGGTAAATAGAAAAGTGTTGGTGAATTGGATGTTGTAAGGCTAAGAATATTACAAAAGACCACATTTGCCTCACGATAAACACAAGGGTCAATATGATCTTGTAGATAAATTCATGTAGGTACTAGACTCCCTGTTGTTTTGATCTGTTTAGTGTTAGGACATGCCAGACTGGGGTACATATTTTAAGTCGGAGTTGAGTAAAGGATGGACGAGACTGTAACTGAAGTTGTTTTTTTAGCCAAGACATTCCTTTAAACGATCTCGGTCCAGTTTCAAACCATCAAAAAGATTAGGATTTTCTCGGGATTGAACGAACAAATTTCTGTTACGGACACTCAGACAGTTCGTAACATACACAAACAATTCATAGCCTGTTCAGATGTATGGATGTTGATGTTGCATTGTTTGGTTTTTGAAGTACTTACTTAATAGTAACTACTAATAAACAAAATAACTAACTGGATCTGAACATTCAATGGTTCAGTAAGGGTCTGCATCTTAAACATAACACGTAAAAATTTACGCTCGAGGTGACCAATCAAAAGGGAGTCTTTTGTACTTTTGAAAAAATTTCCTACTAATTGAATTATAATTTTAAATACTTGGTCAGTAAAAAGTGTGTACAGTGTGCTGTTATAAGGATAATGAATTAAAACGTTTTGCACCAAGTCCAAGGCAATATTGACATGTTGAATTCAATAGCATTATAATTGATTAATGGTTTTGTAGAAAATAGTGAAAGCCTTGTTATATTAGCAATGTGTATCCATGTGTAAACGGAATTCCTACCAAAATATTCCTTTCTTGTGATTGGAGTTGGAAGTTCTTTTTGTAATTGAACGAAAAAAAAATACAATACCATAATTGGTTTACACAAAACAAATCTTGTTTGATTATGCATAAAATATTTAGTTGAATAAACAGAATATTTTCAATACCAGTGGATAAGGAAGGGAGAAGAGAAGGTGAGTTCAGGGAACATTAATGATCAATATTAGTTTAAGAAACACTACAACAAATGGTTAAGTTGACTTTAGAACAGTTTAATATCTACGACTGAAAGTTGTGTCCTTATTTATGTATTTATATGTGTTAACAATTTGATTACACATTTCTAATCACTACAAATGAATATTAGCTCAGGTAAACATCTGATTCAGTTGTCAAGTTATTCTTGACAATCTAGTGTAGGAATATTTTACGGCTTTTAACAACTTACCCACTTCAGAAGAAGATTGTGACCACATAGATTTGTGCATTTTCAAACCATTTGTGCAAATTCAAACAAATAAATGATAAAAGTAGAAAAAAACACAAATTAACACATAAAATAATATGAACATTCAGCTACTGTCCGGCTACATTTTAGTATGGGAAATTTATTTAAAAACCATTCCAATTTAAATATCTAATTATTTTTAAAGTAATTTAAGATATGTATTTTTTCATGTAGTGAAAGAAATTTGTCTTAGAAATATAGTTAGGGTATTCAATTTTACTTACCACCGGTTTTATGAACTGGTTTAATTCAAACAAAATATAACTAAGAAAAACAAAAACAATATAAAAACAAATCACAACACAATGGGTTTCTATAATACAAGTTATCATAATTATACTTTACCATTGATATTGGTTTGTTATTGTTTATCCTGAAATAGTTTAGATCCATTCAAAATCTGCCAAAATAATTATAAAATTACTTTAGAAACCTTTTTATACTTCCAAATCCAAACACTCGAATATTAATGATTTTTACATATTAAAATTAATTTATTTCTTATGTCTAGTTAGAAGTAGATATTTAACTAAAAATTCTATATACAGCATGCGTATTACTGTTTTCTTGAAATATGCTTTTTTCCATGCTAGAAGTAAGGAATTATCTATTTTACAGTGACAACTATGAAACTACCCAACTAAAATGGCAATGCTCATCTAAGCCAAAATAAAAATTACAGTGATTGCATAGCGGATAGTAATTTATGAGTGATTTGAAATTTAGAAATCATCCAACTATTAGTTAAATGTTTCATGGGATCAGGCGAGATTGAGGCCAGATTGAATTAAAATTCTTAGTTACTCGACTTTTAGAGTCTCCGATTTAGATTCCTCGACAAAAACAGTTTTATGGTTCCAGCAAGGACAATGACAAGCATGCATAGGTACTGAACAGGAAAAGCATCAAAAGACAACAACCTCAAGATGTAGTGTACAAATTTAAAAACCACAAATTTTGTGAGTTTTTTTCACACATTGATTTTTTTTACCGATATTTTATCAACAAATATGTTTTACACCCAAAAGTAAAGTTAGCGGTAATCGTGTACAATCGTAGTACAGATGTTGGAAATAAGACTGAGTTTTACAAAAAAATGCTAACTTGTTTTAAAATTACTCAGGTCACATCAACATTACCAGAACTGTTTAAACATTGCTTCTGAAGTAGGTATAGCAAATAATCTGTTATTTCTGTTATTAGGATTACAGTTTTGCTTTGATGCTAAATTACACTTTTTTCCATTTGCATTTGACATCATGACTTGATTACAGCGCTCCGGGACGTTACATTGGACTGCAGTTGTATGTTTAAGAGTCCTTGGAGGCTAGCGGCCATCTTGGATTATTTCAAACAGCTGCTTAAGAGTTATTTATCGCCCAAAAATATTTTTTCAAAGAACAAAGTGATTATAATTACAATATCTAGTATACTGTGGGATTTGAAATGTTCTTTGTAGTTTTGAATTGTTCTCCAAGGGAGTCCATAGAAGCTAACGGCCATCTTAGATTAGCCCACCATAAGAGCAATTTTAATTTTGTTAATTTCAAGAAGCCGCTGAAGAGTTATTTACCATCTAAAAATATTGTATCAAACACCCGAGTGATTGTTATTTAAATATCTATTATACTGTGAGATTATAAATCTTCTTTGTAGTTCTTTTAACTGTTTTACATTCTAGTAGATATTTTACATCTAGGCTCCAAGGACTCTTAACAGCGCTAACCTAACAGATTGATGGTTGCTTTTTGCTACGTTAATTTTGTCCTTGTGGTATATTATATTATTTTGTTCAGTACAATTGTGTCTGTTTGTATCTGGCTTTTAACTTAGTGAATAAATTATCAATTAGCATACAATTTTTCAAGTCTAGGTTCATTGTAAAATACAAGTATATATCTCGTATCATGGATAATTTTAATACAAATTGAGGAATTACTTGATCCCTGACAATAATTTGATGAAATCCCATTTTCATGAGAATTATACTTTTATTTTTTAGTGTTTACATTGTTAAGTGTTACAATGAAGTATCGTCATTGTTAGTGTTATACTTAATGTTGTGTACACAAAACAAGGACACGCAACTGATATTCGAAAACTTTTTAATGTAAAGTGAAAATATAACGAACACTCATGCAGAATACACAATAAAACAAAATATTGCTAATAATTATAAGCTTATCTTAAACTTCCAAGTGAGTAGTTTCTTTAATTATTGTTTTCAATAAACACTAATGTTTGTGTAAATGTTTACCATACTAACAAAATTTGTGTTTAAATATGTTTAAGCTGATAACAGATTGAGTTATGGATGAGTCTGTTGTCCATTTACTACAGATTTATTTCTATTTTTGTCTGCATTTGAAGCTGCTTTTTTTATTCAGTAGATTCACTTTTTTAAGATTCATAGCTCCTATTTTCGGAGCTATACTTTAGCAAAATACTTCAATGTAGTTAGATTTTCCCAAATTACTTAGCGTGATTTGTGATCAATGAACCGAACAAAGTTGAAATAACTAACTTCCAAAAACTACAACAATAATGTCCAAAATTTACTTTTGAATTTTTTTAATGCACCATTGTTAAACTATTTTTTTTGTCCCTCGAGAGAAACTAACCACAATCCTTTATTTTTTTTACTTGATGACACTTAACTACCTAACTGTAAACAGACACTGGAGATTTTGGGATTGAAACAGGAGGAAACTCGGGACGTCAATGGGATCCGTACTGGATTCAGATGCCCGATCTCCACTTGACACTTGTCTTGTTTATTTGATGGAATAGTTTGTGAGTCAAGAAGGAGGTGACTAAATTTTTACAGCAGCACCCGATGGCTGCGTAAGTTAAATTTTATCTTAACTACTTATTTTTTCTAGTCCTTGAAGTAGTTGTGTTCATAAATACGAGGTCAGGTTGGAATGGCACTTGGGGTATTGAAACTGAATGAATAATAACCCGGTAATAACAAGAAAGTGACCTTGATTAAACATTTGGCATTGGAATCTCTAAATTCCCAGATTTGCAACGGTTAGCATTAATTGAAACAACATTTGAGGTTGAGTTTGATGAGGTTATCGACCGAAGTTTGAGTCGTGTGTCGGCCGTTTTAAGTCTTTGATCCCAAAGTCTCCTGTGTTTCCCTCGACTAACAGTGTGTAACAACAAAGCACCTAGAGAGCAACAAACAACAACAGAACATGTGTAAAGCAGACTACACCACAGAGATACAAACACAACTACAAGTTACCTAGGTCAGCTGAAGAAGCCCGGTGATGGTCTACAACTAAACAGACAAACTAAAGCTAAGAAAAAAGTAGAAAAGTGAAAAATATTTTCATTCACATGATATGTAGGACAGGACTGACTATAAAGTAGTCAAGAAGCACTGCAGGTTCGAATATATCCCTTTTTGTACAAATACAGTTTTTCAGAAAACTCATATCTAGGGATGTAGCGATTATTTATATTTTAATATTTTAAATCTCGTTAATACAAAAGCTCGATCGCAAACTATAAATCTCGTCTTAAGCTGACAATTTTAAAGGAGCAATTCAAAACTTTTCACTCGTCACTACTTTATTGCCACGGACCAGGAAAGTGTGGAAGATGAAAAGTAAACGGAGAAAATCATAGGAAAAACTAAAAGAGAACGTAAAACGGAGGAGTTATCTACAAGGGTGGGGAGGACTATAACTTAATGGAGTCAAGACTAGCAAGGGAGCTGCGTCGAGAGAGGCCCAGCGAAGGGGGCCCACTAACCAAGGATGTGGTCCCAAACAATTTGTACCAGCCGATCACAATATTTGATAAGTTGAGGTCGTCGAGCATGATTTGGGCGACTCCCATGAACACTTTCTTGCCTTCAATACGGCCATAGTCGCCCCACACTGTAACCTGTAACAAACAAGAGTAGTAATTGAATAAGTGAATGAATAAAACGTACGTTCATTAGACAAAACCACACAGCAGATATAAATAAAACACATACTTTATAATAGATAATTAATAATTATCGTGTAGCTTTAAGTATGGAAATCTGCCTAATAGACCTTTTGTGTTTTCTAAATAAATGGTGTTTAGTTTTCAACCAACAGGTCAAGGCACTTCACAAGCTAAGAGCTAGAGATTAAATGTAAGAAAGGACCATGGGGTCCTAAGTTTGCCTCAATAAAGAAGGATTTTCATTTTATTTCAAGCTAAAATAATGTCTCGAGAACTCTTAACAACCATCAAGTACAAGCTAATCCAGCTGCCGGAACGCGATCATGGGCTAGAAAAGTAAAAAGGTCAGATTATATGAGGAGCAGTATGTTCAGGAGTTTTCCACGATTGCTGAAGATGCTGATTATGTTTCTGTTATCACAAAAGATTTTCAGAAGTTTGCCACAGTCGCAGATAACAACAAACCATAAAGTTTCTGTTATGACGGGAGACGATCATGATACACCCGTGAGTATGGGAGATGTAAAATATTTTGCCACAATGGCCAAAGACAATGTTGATCTGTTACCGCAGGAGATTTCATAGTTTTGACTGTGATCGCGGGAGATGACAATAACATTTCCGTGATCGCATAAGACAATGATGATGTTTCCATTACTGATGAACATATTTAGGGTTTTGCCGTGATCAAGGAAAATGGTTGATATGATGTTTCCATGATAATGGGGGAGGGAGGGGGGATAAAAAATCTTTGCTGTGATTGCGGGATACGTTGATAATGTTCACACGACCATGGAATATAGTCACAATATTACTGTAATAACATTATAATTGATTGGTGAAGGCACGGTCAGATTAAGTGAGCAGTCGGACTAGCGGGGTTCTACTGTATATTAATTACAAAGTCGAGAGCCAAATGATTAAGTTTATTCACAATAGAACGATAGAACTGAAACATCCCTTTAAACAATATAACCTGTTGTTTCGCCCTTTGTCACAGAATCAAGCCATTCACCTGCAGTATGCAGCCTTGAAAAGGTTCCCTGAAGGTCAGTGTTTGCTGGTAAAGAGGATCCAAAGTTCGTCTGGCTGTCGCTGTTTTCGCTTTCGCCAAACATTTCTTCCCACTTACAAGGTACACTTTCACATAAGGCGCTGTGGACAAAAATGATATTGTTATCATCACACACAACCATCTGGGTTAAGTATGATCATAAAAAATTAAGTAAAAATGTACTTTCTTAATCACACTAAGCTATAGCACTAAATAACACTAAAATGTATGTGTAAAATAGCTACTAAAATGTTTGGAAGTACGTTTGTCTCATACCTGGTAACACTTTAGAGCCCTGTCTGGATTGCAGCCCTCGCGCTCGTATCACCTCCACCTCCAGATATCCCTTCTGGTAGCACATGCTGAGCTGAATGTCGCCCAAGGACGGAGCCCCCAGGACTTGCCGGCCCACCAGCTGTCCAGGGCCTAGCCCCTCGATAAAGTCCGACAGAGGACCTCCGTCTGAACCTTTGAGTGATGGCGCCCAACTATCCCACACAAACAATTGTTACACTTTCCTCCGGTAACACACAAAGACTGTCTGACTGTAGTTTTGTTCTTTTTTGATCAATTTATTTTTTAAACTTTACAATTTTTCTACTCTCTATACATCTTAGGATTTCAAGCTCTATACGTTCTACGTTCACTGTGCGGTATGAATTGTCTGTAAGCCACCCAAACTTGCAGTTTCAAAGTTTCGGCAATACTAGCCGTCCCAAAAACATCAGAACTCTTGACACACTGTAATTTTTTTCTGGTACATTTACAACTTACTATGACTTATAAGTAAATCAAAATCCAAATTGCTAAGTTGAAATATCTATCTATTGTAGTAAATTGCATTTACGGAAATAAATCTTAAATAATTCTTTGGTGCCTTTGAGTAGCCAGTTCAGTTGACACAACTCGCATGATATTTTCAGTAATGTTAATAGCACAACTATCTTCTGTAAGACCTGTACTGCACACTGAACGTAGAATTGAATATAGAGGATCGTGAAAATAGCACATTGCTGAAGCAATTGTGGTTGGCAGGATTTGAACCCGACATCTAGTCCCAACCCATAGCCAACCAAATCGTAGCCCGTGAACCCGTGTGAAGTCCCAAAGCCCAGTGCCCATCTACTAGACCAGCTTGCTCCCTCAACACCATAACACATTACACAACATTGTTTTAAGATGTTTTGGAAAATAATTAAAGTTAACTTAAATTTCAGCTTTGTAAAAACTCCCATTTGATGTGGTTCTAATCACTCAAGTATGGGGTATTATTACTCTGTACATTATATACTAAGATTCCAAAATAAACTGGCAGTCATTGTATATAGTACAGCAATCTTTCAAATAAACTTTACAAGAAAAATAATGGTGTACATTAATTGAACAAAACTACAGTCAGCCCAGTTGCCTATGCAAACCTACTACAGTAAAACCCCTCATATCTGGCCTACACGGGACCGAGCCCCTGGCCGAATAAACCAACCTATTATTAAAATGATAATTCGTATCTAATAACAACTTGTGATTGGTTCAAAGTAGTGTTTGAGTCTCTTTTGGGAATCTAGTAGCTCAACTGAGTAGTCAACCCGCTAAAAATATGAACAGGAAACAGATAAACTGTAAGAACGCTAAAATCATGGAGACTACGTGTACAGCCATGGGTAATATTTTTGGTACCGATTCTGGAACGTGACCGGATAAACCAAGGACCAGAAATTCCGAGGCCAGATATTAGGGGGTTTCCTGTAGATTAAAATTAAGGTGTTAATTATACATTATGATAGAGGGAAATCTGCAAACCTCTACTGATTCTTAATCAGAATAATGTTTAAGGGAGAAGCATCTATATTCTGATGATTTTATTTTTTTGTTTGAAAATGTCCTTTTCTCTAAGTTTTACTTGTGCAGACTACTGTACTTCAAAACTAATAAAAAATATTAAACAAAATGTCCAAAAGATTTATAAAATGAATAATTTAAAAGTATCATCGATATATTACATTCAAGAATATGGAAATATGGAACCAACGAGTTTAAGGTATGATTAATATAATTTATTTCTACATTTAATTGTTTATTGCAATTTGTTGGATACTTAACACAACTTTTTATATAATGTTGAATGTAAAATTTTTATATACATAAAATTATTGTTTTTTTATGTTTATATATTCTGCTTCTTACAATCCTTGTTGAATAGTTAAATTTCTCATCTTTGTCTTCCAATAGTACAATATGTGTTTTTCATTTCATACGAGTAAATGAATCATTTAGACTCAAATTTACAACATACATTTGCATGTGAGTAGTGTTTTAATGGATGCAGAAGCCAAAAGCAAGGAGATTAAAATTTTGTTCAATAAATTCTTTTTACAAAAATTTGTCATGCAATAAGTTTTAGCCAGGGTTTGTATAGCTTCCATACGTAATTTAGTTTATGCTATTCAACTTATAAATAGCAGTTAATTTATCTTAAAAGTTCAAATTAGCAAGTTTTGCTTAGTTTTTACTAAACAAATTTAAAATAATCCTTTTAATCATTCAATGTAGTTTCAAGATTTTTCACTTCATCCTATTCAACTTAGCGTTACGTAATAGTAAAACATTACCAATACAGATCCAATGCACTATAAATACACTATGTCTAAAACACAAAAACAAGTTATAGAATAAAATACACAGAAATGTTTTAGATATATTAAGGCTAACTAATACTAGACACTACATAGAGTAAAGAAAGATAGATAGAGATAGAATGAAGACCAATTCCGTAGGGATAGACAGAAAAGATTGTGCATTCACGTGCTAGTTGAGCGTAGATTTTGTGGATGCTAGTGGCCAAGATGGTAGTCATCGAGTTCGATAGCTTCGGGGTTAAGATTTAATCTACATCGTTTACCGGAAACTTCAGCACTCCTGTTCAATTTCATGCACTACCTTCACAAAACTGGGAATACATTTTTGACGAGTTTTTTGTCTGGTTTCGTAACCTTCCAGTCTTCTCTGCTGCCTTTCCACACTTGTACGACAGAAAATGCAACAACACTTAGAGGCAAAACAACAAAAGTCAAACCACAGAAGCAACAAAGCTGTAAATTTTCACAGTTGTAGTTTATTTGAATCAATTAAATACTGGAAGTGATTTTTATGTTTCATTTACTGTATGTCTATTTACGATACGTAAATCATTCTACGCACTGAGAATAAAATGGCCTAAAACATTCAAGCACATAAAACAAACCTCTAGAGCTAAAAATGAAGGATATGACATTTTTTCTCTCACAAACTTAAATTTAGCCTTTGAAACTAAATTTTCCCAGACTAAAACCATATAAAGTATTCGGAGGGTTTATGTTCAGTGTTTAATAACTATTTTGATATTAATTTAGGTATACTACATTTCAATATGTTATTAAAGAGTGGATTTATAATTGGAATTAATTGGTTTAGAATCAAAATTACATTTTCTGTAGGCCTAGCACAAAACTGTGGCGGCTTGGGCAACGTCCCAATCAAAAATAACACCACTGAGCAATGCTCGGTCCCCTGGCACTTCTCTTTATGAATAAAACATTATTTTTTTTAGAGCTGAAATATTGTATTTAGTTTTCTTATTATCTTCTTTGTTGTTTAAATCTAGTGATGTACCGGTAACATGGAATGGGTTAACGAAAAAGGCATTTATCAGACTGAAGTTTTAGCTATGTGCAATGGATAGTTTCCATATAAATGTGGTTGGTTCATTGTATTATAATATAATAGTTAATTTAAAATTGTAACTGTATTTTTTTATGTTAATAATCTTATCTAATGATTAAACATAGAGCCAATGAATAGAGAACACTGCTTTTTTGAAAGTTAGTTTAACTCTTTATCAGTTAGTATGGATGTTTATCACCCCTTTTTGATATCCTAAGTGTATAAGAAATACAAATTCAAATGTCTCTTATTCTAAACATTTTCAATCCCACAATCGTTTTCCATATCCATTTAGGCAGTTCAAAACCTCATGCCTAACCTTCCAAGTCTTGCGGTGCATGACGACGTCGGTATCTTTACGAAACCAAAGTTCGGATTACACAAATGAATAGTGAGTGTTATACAGTGCGAGAAACATTGCTTTGCGGAGAGGTCAACTGTGAAGTGTTCGATGCCACATAGCATATAAAAATTGAAAACAAAGAGGTACGAGTACTTATAATGAAAACATAGAGATCATGCTTCATAGCACCACCACCAACACAAGAACACAGTGCGTTTGACGATAGTGCAGCCACTTTACACCAAGATATCACATTGTGGGAGTTGAGGTGTTAGCACATTCACTGGTTTATGCATTATATTTGCTTTAGTTACAGTTAACTGATTAGACAATAGACAATTTCTTTATTACAATTTCATCAAGAAATGTTACAGCGTCAAATTTATGTATGTTATGTATGTTTTTCAAAAGCGAAAAAGTACAATCTTCACATATTAAGATTAATAGTTTGTTAGAAGTAGTTATATCATTACTTAAAGATTGTGATTGTTGGTATATTAACCCTCGGCATTCAGTTGGCCAGTCGTACTGGCCTCGTCATTGACGTAAACAGAGTTGAATTGTTTCAATATCAGCTGTATCTGCCAAATTTCTCTGTGTATTGCTCAGAATCGGAAACTTCTTCTCACCAACTTTGAGTTATTACAGTTAAAAGTTTGCTCACTAGGTATTACCACTTCATAACAAATTTTTGAAAAACAAGATTTATCCATGAGTAGCTACGTTGCTGAGTGAATGTTTTTATGTTGGGCAGTACCACTGGCCAATTGAGTCGGGCCAATGTGAAATTTAACCAAACTGTGCAAAAGAACGTTGTCAATACAGCTGGACAAAGATTAAAATTGTTCCTATTTCAGATTGCAAAGGGTTAAAACCATTACATACGTAAATTCATTGTGACAAATATCATAAAATTTATTTATAAAATTTAAATTATTTACGCAACTTGAGTTAGTTTTAGCTAATTAAAATTACTTATTAAATTAAATCAAAAGTGAATTTAATTAGAAATATTATGTTTAAACTGTTTTATTACATTTTGTCTACATTAATTATTTTTATTTGTTTACAATTTGGTTTAACAGTGTTTGTATTAGTTAGCTGGCATGGGGAGGGTGGAGGTGATCCGATGGCCTACTTACGAAGAGCCGTCAGAACTAGAAATGCTGTGACTGCTCGATTGACGAACGGGAAGGGGGGAGACCTCATGTGAGCGAGCGAATCCCCCCCGTCGACCTCCCTCTACACAGAGTAACACTCTCACTCTCTCACTCATCCTAGCATAACTCTATGTACAACCATTGACTATGGATAACCACTAGACATTCCATTTCCATGTTAAGGTTGTAGCCAGGTTTTAGAGGAATAAATGAGGTTAAATTGAGTCACCAACAGATTGTGCTGATGTAAATGAACTCAAATTGTTTCAAATACGCCAATTTTTCCTCTAAGCTAAACTAAAATGACATTTCTTGGTAAACTATACGATTGTTTATGTCATAAAAAAATGAAGAGAGAAATGGAATTTTAGAAAGCATTATCTGTGAGTGGCTCATTCAGCTGTTATTTTTTAATAGAAAATTAGCTACAGCTGATTCATATAGATGGGATATCTACTTTAGTATCCAAAACTCAATGGTACAACTCAAATCTCAGTCAAGTTGATGTTAGTATACCCTCAACTTAAATTAAATATACTTCTAAGTACTTTCAATGCACGAATCTCTCATTTTAGTTTGGGGAACTATATCCTTCATTTTATTCAAAGTTAAAATTGGAGCTATACTTTTTAAATCAAGGCCATTAAATAACAGGAAAGAAGAATTTTTAGGGCAATTACAATTATTAACAATTTAATATTTCAACACTTAAATTTCTCATTCAATAAATTTACACAATGGAATATTTATTCATAAAAATGTAAAAAAGTTAATTTAAATGATTTGAGAGGTTTTTACAAACTGAATTAAAATAAATGTAGTTAGAAAAAGGATACTTGACAGTTTAAAGCATTAAATAAGTTCAAAAAACAGTAAAAATTATCAGAAAGAGCACACAACCTCTTTCATGTTTTCAAAATAAGACATTTAATATTCTCAAACATACTTCGTATTTAAAATTATTCACTCAAAATTACTTGTATTCCTAGCAATCAAAATGCAAAAAGCCTTAACTAAGTTTCAAATTGCAAAAATTCATAACCTACACTAAAAATATTAAAATCTTACAAAAAATCATAAAAGCTCGGTTAAATATCCTTGTGAAAAACACAAAACAAGCCCACTCAAACCCTATAGCCGCCTCTACTATTTTCGTTTGTCACACTTGTATTAATCCAAATCCAGTAGTCAGTGCTGCCCCGATCAAAACTAAAGATACGTTCATGAGCCAAGGAATTAGCATTGCATACAGACCAACGAGGATAGAATCCTGTAAGAACACGTACATGAACATAGAAAGTGGGAAGGATATGAAACAGTCAAGCTGGCGAGGGAGTTGTACAAGAGGAAAACAACCAGATACATTGAGGAACCAGACAGTCCGACAGATAACATTCCAACATTGAATGATTGCAACTGTAATCTACCGTGTTACATTCAGGCTCACTGAAAAGTCACTGATTTTACAATGATAGTCACCAGAATCACTGAAAACTCTAAGGTAATTTTTGGTGTGCCTTTTAGTTGCGCTCTGTTACTCTTAAGATAGAGCACAAGGCTTGCCTGAGTGGAAAAGTTCCATCCTGGCACAAGAAAAACAAAACGTAGAATATTTCGTTGTCTCGACCAAGGGAAATTTTAGTTGAAAACTTGCTTGTTTCAAAATCCTGTCAGTGACAGTGGAATATTTCAGTTTTTTTGTACAGCGTAAATTTTGTGTATTTCTTATACCAGGATGGTTTAGGTAAACAATTTTTTTATTATTTATAACCAGTTTAATATTTTACCCAAAGTAACAAAGGAAAATAAAATATATTTGTTCATAAACCAAATATTGAATGTAAAAGAGATTGTACAAATGTTTATACACTTTCATAATTTATTTGATGATCAACGTATGATTTTTGAAATCTAACAAATTTTCCTTATGCAAACTGAATAAACTCTGCTTATTGCAGGTGATCTTTGGGGGAGAAGAGTCACATAAACATAGAAGTTAGTTTGTGTACGGTAACTGATAGACACCCTGTAAGTTAGAGTTTGATCATTGGCCGTAGAAGCTAAAACAAAGATCTTATTACAAATACAACATTTGCGGATAGAATTGTTCACAACTGCTTTTTTAAATTTTGTTTGATAAATGATCAGAATATTTATAAAAGAGATGGACAAAGTGCAACAACAGGACATTCTACAACTATGCAAAAAACACTTAAAAAACTTAACTTCCGAACCGAATGAAAAGACTATTACCAGTTTCTACAGGGCAAGATTTGTAATGTTTAGGTAAAGTGTTGGACAGAAAGGTTAGTCATTTTTTCAACGAATAAACGTTGGGGTTGGTTTTAAAGAAAATGTATTCTATTTTCGTTTAATGAGCATATAATGGCTGTAACCAATATGTAACAGTATATTTACTCTCTTCAAATATTGAAATGCCAAAAATTACTTAAATTTTTGGGGGGAACACCACTTGGTTTATGAATACAATAAGAAAGAAGGAATGGATAAACAACTAAGAAAAGAGTTCCAAGATGTTGATAATCAACAGTATCAACTGGAACCGTTTTTTTTTTTAAGTAAGTTTTTTACGCTAAGACTTCGTCATCGTCTTTTCGTTCTTGCGAACACGTCGTTTTTTAAAAAACATTGAGGTTTACAGTTTTTAACATTTAAAACACTTAACACAAAACACGAAAAATGGCCAATAACTATTATGGTACCGATCGGTGGAGCGGCGGGCGACACGGAAGTTGAGTCTAGACTGACCGCTGCAAGCCGGTGTCATTGTTCTTTCTTATTTTTTTAAGAAAGATTAGGGGAGGGGACAAGTAAACAATGACACCGGCTTGCAGCGGTCAGTCTAGACTCAACTTCCGTGTCGCCCGCCGCTCCACCGATCGGTACCATAATAGTTATTGGCCATTTTTCGTGTTTTGTGTTAAGTGTTTTAAATGTTAAAAACTGTAAACCTCAATGTTTTTTAAAAAACGACGTGTTCGCAAGAACGAAAAGACGATGACGACGTCCGCCTGAAGATGACCCCGTGAGGGTCGAAACCGGTCGCCTTTCAAGGTCAAAAGGATCACTTGACAGCAGGTAATTTCACCAGTACACGTTCAATGTAGGTTCAAGTGTACCTTTATACTTACAAGTATCAAAGAAAATACAAAGTTTTAATGTATAATGAATTTTGGGTGTTTAAATTTAAAAAAATTAATATGTATTTTTTGGAAAATTAGTTTTTACAATTTATTGATTTAACAAAAGAAACATAGAAATGGAAATCATCCTTAATTGACCGTCTGGAAAAAAGTAATAAGAAGAAAAAAAGTAATTGGAAATGTCAGTCGCAAACACAGATCACATCACAATGATAGAAAACTGTACAATACAACCACTCACACCTGAAAACGTACGTAGAACGAATCACGGAAACACACAAAGAAAATTGGTCCTCAGATAATTTAAGTTTGAAGAACTTCCCACAAGATTTTCACTCTCGCGTTAATTGGTCTTCATTCTTTTATAAGGATATTTAAAAACCAATAAACTGCAAACAAACTCATGATTTGAAACCATACTTGGAATCAATTGATTTTAGTGAAACAAAACGAGTTGAAACATTACAATTTTGGCTGTAACTCTACAGAAAAAACCGCAATGTCAATCAATAGCAAACAATCTATTATTGAGAATTTGTGTAGGGCCTAGACCAATCTGATCAGATTATTTGGCATTTAAATTAGACGCTGAGATCATAAATTCTATTGATTTTATTAAGATTGTCATGAAAGATGTTCATATACTGAATATTGTGATCAATATTATCATCATTTCAGTGTAGATATTTTTTTAATCTAACTAAACTATAATTTTAAAGTTTTCCTAAAAAAAAAACTTTTGGTCAGATGGTAGATTAGTTTTTTTTTTTTTACTTATACATTCATTGAGAAAGGAAGGGTTTTTGTTATGTTTAATTAAAAATATATTCACACATAAAATTAGTAATTAAAATTTTTTGATAAAAAAGGTAATGAAAAAGTAAAACTAATTGTTTAATTTATTTGAAAATAAAAATATATATCGATAAAAAAAACATTTTAGTGAACTTTTTTAAGAATTATATGAAGGTTACCGTGAATAAAAAATTACTATTTTCCTACCAAACATCATGAAAAATTCCTATTGGTTACTTTTCTTATAAAAAAATCATCAAACAAAACGAATAATCATCACACTTTAGTCCTCGCCACCCTAACTTGAGGCAGCCCAAGGCCGCATGCCATATATCTAGTGCGGCCTTGGGCTGCCTCAAGTTAGGGTGGCGAGGACTATAACAGTTTTGTCAGTTTTGGGTCATGGTAGTGAGAGTTTACTCTTTGTTTGCAGTTTGTTTGGCAGGACGTGTTAGTGCAAGTCAGGACCTGTCTCCGTCCTGCGAGCCCTCCCCGTCGCTCGACACAGATGAACCCTGCTTGATCAAATGTCGCACTTCGTCGGGCAGCACCTCTTCGGACCGATGAACGGTGAACGACGATTTGCCTTTTGTTCCGAAACCTAACCTACGTTTGCGGCCTGAACCAACACAATAAGAGATTGTCAAACATGTTCATTTTTATTGAAACTTGAAACCCTTCCTAGAGTATGCAGTCTTTCATCCATACTCTCTAGATAATTTATAAACTCAAGCGAATATCAGAACTTGTAATTTAAAAAAATAAGGCTTTCTGAATTTATATCTCATTCTTTATCCCAAAGTGACTTTTATTTGATCAATTAAAAAAAACAGCAGTCAAATAAAAAAAATCTTGGGAAATCTTACTTTTGATAGAACTTGCATATGTTTCATCCACACATACTAAGAAAAATTGCTAGTCGACTTTGCTAGCCTAAAAAACCAGTTAGGCTGGAAAAGCTTACAAACAGTTTTCCTTAATGTTTCATGATTTCTACAGTACATTATAATTCCAACTTGAGACCATATAGTTACTCCAACACACTCTATTACACACACACTTTCACTTGCATTCTCTGCGGGTCTGAGCATACCTGTGGCCGACAGTTGGCTGGTAGAGTTGCTCTTCTTGCCCATGCCTTGACTGTGCGACTGTTTGCCGCTCGTCGTGCCAGAGCCGCTGCCCGACGCTGCTTTGCGGCGAGACCCGTTGATATGGTGATGATGACTGACGGCTGTGTCACTTAGACTTCCGTCTGCAACAGGTAAACACTGATCAACATCTTTGATTATGGATACAAGTAGACATTCTGTTCCCATGTCTAAGTTGTAGCCAGTTTTGAGCCACAGGCAGTGTGTACTGATTTCTGTCAAACGCACCAACTTGACCAAGTTGATTTTAATAGACTACTTATTGTTAACTATAGCATCTAGGCTACATTTCCTATCACAGGAAGCAACACTAAGAGAGGAAAAATAGAGCCATTATCACTCTCTTGTGAGTGGCTCAATCAACAATTTTTTTTTTTTTTTTATATAAAAATTGGCTACAGTTGTTTGATGGGATTCAGTATCTAACAGTAAACGTAATTCATAAATTAATATGTTAGCATAAATATGATAAAATAATGATAGCAAAGGTGTAAAAAGACGAATTTTATAAGACTCCTTTTGACTATACTGGGTGGCCCATAAGTCAGTTGACAAATTTGCATTTAATGAAATGATACACAACAAAATGGAATACATGTATATTATTAATTCATAACTCAAAAACAACATTTACTGTCGAGATGGAGGTTGAACATTCGGAAAACGTTCTACAAACAAATTGCACACATCACTATAACTATGGCCATGATTCCACCATGTTTGCAAAACAAATACACGCTGTTCTGTTGTTAACTTTCTATTCATTGTTTATCGAATAACAATTAACACACTATCATGAATAACTATCAAACATAACCTCAAACTAAACAACAACAATTACTAAACACAACTCCCAACAGCTGTGGTATTACAGCTGTGTATGGTACCAACTGCTAAAATTAAAAAAAAAATTGCAAGCGTCAACTGACTTATGGGCCACCCAGATATATAAACTTGATACTATTATTACAATTTTTGTGAGTTTTATCAAACCCCATAAACAGGTGGGTTTTTTTACCAGTATTTTATTTTGACAAACAGTCTGCATAACTTCTGAGTGGTAATTATTTAGGATGTAGGTTTGCTGCGGCAAGGGTATTTAAATTTAAAAAGTTAATACATATTTGGAGAATGTGCATAACTACTGACGTTTTACTTCATTATTTTTTTGATATGCATTAATAATTAATAATTGCATACACTACCATATCTCAACTGAGGCTAACATAACAATTACATTTCTTTCTTCTAACTGTCAGTAATAAATATTATTGAAATTATTAATCTCTACGATGCCGGTACACTCACCACCACGTTCGTCTGGTTGGACGTCCGCGTTCGAGAGACTTCTAGAGAACGGCGGCCTCTTGTTGTGTCCCCCTTGTGGTGGCGGCTGTACCGTCGTGTGAGATCGCTCTCCGTAGTCGCTAGGGGGCAAAGCAGAGGGAGGGGTGACAGAGGGTTCAACTTCAACTTCAACTTGTGATTTACATCTGAGAAACATACGTTTGTGACTGGGGGAGTCTGGGGTGGGAGTGTCAGAGGTCTTACAAGGGCTGAGGAGAGTGTCATCAGGAGGGTGGTCAACTTCTACTTTAACGTTATCACTTGTTTTTTCGTCTTCACAATTTATCTCAGAGCTATCTTTGTTTTCCTCGGGTTTGCACACACCTGGTTGGTTGTTTTCTACGTTCGTCTCACTTTCCCCCTGATTGTCCACGACTTCGTAAAGGTCGTCTGTTATGTCCGAGTCTCGTCTCCAATCGTCGAGTTTGAACCTGGTTTTCTTTAACACCGTTAGTGGTTTCTCGTTCGCCAGTTCTTCGGAACTTGACGTGTCGTTCAACGTGCAAACCGGGACAGAACAGTCACAATCTGAGTCAAAGTTTATGTCTTTAAAGTTGTTGTCCCAGTTTGAAACAATTTTACAACTTTCCAAGTATTTTTCGTGAAACGAATCGTCGTCGTCATGAATAGTTTTAGACACGTCACTGTCCGATTGCAGCACGTTGCAATATGGAGCCTCATGCAAGGCATGCTTATCACAGATCAACCTTACTCGTACAGGGTGTGAGATACCCGGGTTGGGGAGTGAGTTCTGTCTACGGAACAACGGTTTGCTTACACAACTCTTTACTTTACACAAACTACAAGTACTAGGGCTACCAGTAAAGGAATCTCGCGTTTTAGTGCTGAAACAAAAATAAGTAAAAACTCACTTGAGCAATTTTTGCAGGGATCACCATATTTTACCACAGTATAATGATGATTCATAATCTCTACAAAAGGTAAGAGGCTATCAATGAGTGTTATTTTGAAAGTAAGCAGTGAGGAAGATGGAATCGGGTTAACCAAGTTAAACATTACTGATTGTTTAGTGAATGGTTCGTTTTACAGTCAATAAAATAAGTATTCTGTGTGAATTAAAAAGTTCTCACTGCTATTAACATTAACATCAACACAAGCATGTATACTCCACGACCATTTCCTAAAATCATTTAAACATTGATTCAATGAACAATAATAAACGAATAGTAAATTTCATGAATTGTTATAATCTACTCTAATTTATTATTCCAAGTTCATGGATATAAAGATACGTTAGGATTCCACAGCCTAAGAATCGAAGACCAAGTGAAGAGATGTCTTCAGGTCCAACTATCTCTCCAACTCAAACCTTCCTAGATTAAAATGCTGCAGTAACAAAGACATTTTAATTTTTGCGTATAGTGTAAAGTGTTGTGTTTCTTGGGGCAGAGTAGACCCCCATTTAGGTCAGCATGCTGTCCTCACAGAAATCCTAAATGTTAGTGTGTTATGTAAACTTAACGTTACAAAACCTGTCGTAACATTGCTTTCAGAGCTGTGCTACATCGTTTGCTTGTTATATACCAGAGCCTTCTACATGCTAGACTTCTGTATTGGCAATGTATGAATTTGTAGTAGGGGTATACCTGAACCCCCGTGAGCCGCGAGGTCGCTCGCTCTGTGTAGAGAAGGCACTGCTAGTGATGCTGACGACACTCTCAAGGTCGCTGTCGCCCAGGTCCGTCGTCCCGATGATATCCTTGTCCAGTGACGTCATCGTGCGGCCGGGGATGTGGCCACCCCACGGCCTGTCCATGTCAGACGACGGCAGGTCGCTGTCAGACAGGCCGGTGAAGTGCCTCGACATGCTCCCTGGGAAATAACACACTTTGAAGTAAAGGTGAATCGTTCAGTCAGGGTTATTTAGATTCAAACGAGTTATTCTGATCATACTGACTAAAGAACCCGTTCATATGAGCCATTGTGTTCACATTATCAATTCTAGAACTGAGAGACTGGAACTGAGGAATAAACGGACTGACTCGATAGATGGTAGACGAGTATGCCTGATTAAGTCTCAACTTCAACCCACAATAAAATAAATGGAGAATTAAAGCAAATCAAAGTTGGAAGTTCATCAAATCTTTCTTTTATATTTATATTTAAATTAAAAAACCCAAACTATGTTACTATGTACATACATAAGATTTTTTTTTATTTGAAAAACTAGCTGTTACCCACGTTTTAAACCTTCCTAACCTAACTTAACCTAATCTAGCCTTGCAGGAGCTCTCGACGTCGCGCTACAGCGCTGAGCTATTGGAAAGCAACTGGCAGCGGCTTTGGACGTGGTACTACTGCTAAGTTTTTAAGAGTATAAAAAATGCTGTTGCACGACGACCAATCTTATGACGTCCAAAGCTTATGTGTTTCTTGCAGTTACTGTACTTTTGGACATGATAAGATTTGGACGTTGTGCAACAGTGAAATAATATTGGTCGTTGTGAGACAGCTCAAAAATTATATTTTAATGTCGTGACACTGACTTATACCATTAAACGTTGTGGCATTTGAACTTCGAGCAACACTCCTATTTCAACTTAGTTATGGAGATGATTTGATCAATTTGTTAGATTTTTTGTCTAATTTTTGTGTAAAATCTCTCAGGTTCCCTCGAGTATAAAATAAAAATGTGTACAGTTAATGTTACCTGTGTATCCTGCTGACCCTCTAGACTGCATCTGTCTCATTCTCTGCTTCATGAGATGTGCTCGCTCCTCCATGTCCTGCTGACACAACAGAGGGACAATTACCCATAAGAGTTAGACACAAAGACACTCTGTAATCAGTTAAAAGACTAATGGGATTAACCTTAGGTTGTTAAGGTTGGATCTGTTAAGGTGATAAACTTGCTTGACAAAAATCAACAATACTGGTTTACAACCTTATGATAATATTCCAAAGAAGCAATGATTTTCCCCATTTGATTCCTAAAGATTGTTCCATGTGAACTGAAACTAGTTGCAACAGCAACTACATTTTATCACCGAAATAGATGTGTTAAACATATAAATAGACAGGTCCTAAGTTTTTGGAAAGTTTTGTGGTAAAATATCATTGATCTTTGGTCAGGATTACATTAAATGCAGGATTTACCCAGGCCAGAACCAAATTTGTTTCAAATGTTAGCCATTTTACTGCAATAGCAAACTTGAGTGCCTGCGTTAGCTGGAGATGTCCACGATTTTGCAGCTATTACTACAAGAGACGTCTCTGGGATTGTGAGGAACAATAACGATAGTTCTGCGATCAAGGATTAATGTTTTGATGAAATAAAACAGTGTTAATAAATGCTAATTATGTATTTTGTTTGTAATTAGGTCAATTTAAAGAATTTTCAATATAAAAAAGATTTTCTTGTTGCAGGAAAGAAAAATCCTTTTTTGTTAACGTCCGAAACATCAGAAAGGAATTCATATCTCGTCCGGGAACTACAAGTATAATCTCATCCAACCCAAGTACTACACAACTCAATATTAGGCCTAATTCTTTATCTAAAATCACCTCAAAGTACTTATCTTCTGTCTTCAATAAACAAAATATCAATTTAAGATTCATGTTACGATTTGACAAAATTCTAGGGGTGGGCGAGTACTTGACTTTATCCAAATACTCGATCTCGAGTTGAGTGGTAACTCAAAATTCATAAATTAGAACAGACCTGTGTGACTCTCTCGCGGAGAGCTTCTCTGAGCATTGCTGTGTGGGGTATCTGAGGCAGTTGACGTTTCTTGGGAGACGTCATCGGGGTAGCGGTGGCTGATCTGGAGGAAAAGCGAGGCACATACGCGTGGGATGGAAGCACTACATTCGGCTGGTATACTCTGAAATTGAAAACCAATTGTGTGAAAAAGTAGTCTTTCAAAAGCAATAGCAATATCTTTACCATTTTTGTGATTGCAGTGAGCTAATCTTACCCAACTTTGCCATACGTTTCTTATTAGAATTACACTGCAATTTTTGTCTTAAGTTAAAAATTTCATCAGAGGATACAGAACAGAAGGTCTTAGCAGACTAAATGATATTTACTAGTAAGAATATACTGTTAAACTGTCATTGTTTTTCACCGGAATATTTCTTCATTTTAAAAATATTATAAAAAGTAAGAATAGCAAGAAAACATAAATCAGGAGTAGGTAATGTTCTGAAGGTTAAGCCACATTAAAAGTAGAATAGCAAGGGGTAAAAAAACGGCAAGTTGCTGATGATATGAAAAATAATGTCTTGGTAACAGAAACCGTCTTGGGAACAGATACCGGAAGTAAACAAAAAATGCCTGTTTTTTTTTTATTGAATAGGCCTAACACATACAATGCTCACCAATAAATTATTTAAATTTAAATTTAACAGTTATTGCACATCCAAACATATATTGAGTTTCAGATAATCTGAAGCCTACAGATTGTTTCATATTTAAGTCTGGGGTGGTTTCAAACCTGAGGTACATTTAGGAAGTCACTTTGGAATTTTTAGTGAAAGATCTTAGCCTAATCTACATTAGCTGGGTTGCAAACAAAAATAGTGTCATAGAGGATACCAATGTCAACTATGTCAACTATATCAGTTGAAGGTTGCTGCCCAAGGGTTTGTCCTTCCTTGCTTTAAAGAGAAAAGCTCAGTTACTTTCCGAGGCGGAGATGAAGATGTCAGTCAAGCCACTTGAGAAACACCTTACTTTCCAAAAGATATTTCCAACATGTCAATCTAATCGGTTTTCTATTGATATCATTAAACCTATATATTTTTCAGTATCTATAATATTAAAACGAAACAGTGTTTTTTTATTTCACGATTCTGAATCAACCACTCGACGGATTTTCATGATTTTTGTGTTGAAAGAAAGATAATTTTGAGAACTAGGGAATGTCGAAGCCATAATTTTAGTTTATGGTTTCAGTTTTTAAGAAAATAAGTTTAAAATTTTAAAAAGTCTAGCAGACGACACTAACATTCTACACTAGCTTTTGGTATAAAACCATTTGCTTAACGTAACAGCTGTAAACATTAAGCATGTGTGACACAAATTCAGCATTTGGATAAAAATGACATGCATAGGGTTGTCTTATTTATACTATGTGTAATGCTATACTCATTGATACGTTCATTTAATTCGTAAGAGGATGACAGACTATTTTAAATACACATGGTAAAATGCTAGATGCTCTAATTTATGTTTTTGATCAATCTTTAAAATTTTAAGTTTCTTTTAGTGCAATATAATTTGTTTTAACTAACAGCTGGTTGAATATAAAAATATTCTATAGAACTATCAGGTTAGTTTATTATTCTATGATTTTTCCATTGATTATAGAAAATAAGTAAGATTCTATAACCACTGATGTGTACAAATTGAGGCTCTGTCCCCGAGTCTTCAAAGGAAAGGTTATGCAAATAATTTTTCAGTTCGACTTTTTGGGGAAAGAAAAGGAAAATAACAATGTTTACATGTTTTAATTCATCTTGGCAGCTTTTTGTTTACAATAAATGTTTTACCGCTTACACTTTGCTTGAATTAGAAATGGAAATATTCACATAACTTCAGTTTTACTCAATTCCCGTACGTAGGACGGGCCAACAGCTCGTACATATTTAAATTAAGGGTTGGTGGCTACTATCAAAGTTCAAAGTAAGTTTTTGTTTGAGTATGTCAACTGAATGAAAAGAAGTACTTTTACATCAACAAGACTACATGTAAGATTCTTACCACCAAGACTGATTAGTACGAAAATATGATAGGTTACATACCTTTTTCGGTCTTCAGTCTTAAAACAGTAGTTTGGGAATTACTAGTTTTGGGAGCCATGGGTCTTATGACCCAAAATAAGTAATACCCAAACTACTAAAGGTATTTAGCATAGAATATATGTTTTAGGACTATAACCAACCAACACTTACAGGCACCATCTGTATAATTCCTCCAACTACTTACCGATACTCAGGAGGTGATAGGCTGCGGTGAGGACTCTTAGAGCGAGACCGACCTTCGAGAGGAGGTGCAGCAGAGTGGGATCTCTGATTACTGCCTCCCTAGGGACACCAAATAATGTGTTAGATTGAAATACCCCCGCCGCAGCAAACCTGCCGACTAAGCGAATTTCCATTTGTCTGAATTGATTTTCAGTTAAATATATTTTAATAACATTAGGTTTAACGAGTACCTAGGTTTGCTGCTACAAGGAAACTAATAAAGTGTGTTTTTGAGTAAAATATTGATAGCTTGGTACAAAATAAATAAATTTGCCAACTTTGATCAAAATATATCCATAAACAAGCAAACTACAACATTTGACAATATTCTCCATAAGAATAACATGGGAATTTTAATTTACAATTTTTAACATTTTCTCTGTTACTAATAATTGAACAAAAATACTTTTATATACTAAATTATTTGTTTTTTTAAGCTCTTTAAAAAGGTCTAAAGAGAAATCGGGAAATTTTGTGTTTTGAGGGTCAAAAGTGAGAAAAACCAATTTTTACCCCATAAAACCCGTAAAGCCCCGTTCCCATGGTCCGATCGTGGTGGTTCGCGAACTCATTCAAGTTTATCCCGCTTTACACATTTAAACCAAATTTCATCAAAATCGGACCAAAATTACTCAAGTTATCGCGTTCACGGACGTATATATATATGATCTGTTTTTCATTTTCATTTTTTTATTTTGAAATATTGACATTTTTAACAACAAAATTGCAATATTTCATAAATAAAACTTGATAACAAAAAATAGATTGCGGCATTGAGTTTAGCTTAAAAAAGTAGTCCAAAATGATAGGTCACAACACCCTCTTCATATTTAAAATAATTTATCACATTTCAAAATGGTGGATCCAAGATGGCGGCCGAAAAAAATACATCAGTCATAACCAAGTGAAAATAGGTCGACAATTACTGGTAGTGTATACTTATCTTTATCTAGCACTATTTTGAGATTATGGTCTTAGTTTGTAAATGCACAATGTTAAAATGGGCTAAAAATAAAGTTTTAAAAAGCCCTCATAACTTTAAAATGAATAAAGATTTTTAAAAACGGTTTGCGGCATTGTAATCAGGGTAAAAATGTAATTCGAAATAATGGGTCACAACCCCACCTTTACATTTGAAAAAAAAAATTTGCATCCAATATGGCGGATCCAAGATGGCGGCCGGAAATGATCACCTTGTCAAAATGAAGTACTTACTACCCAACAATGTTTGGAAGTGGTCTGGGATTGATATTTGAAAAAATGTAGAAAAAAGTTAGGGGGGGGGACAATTAAAACTCACCCTGTATATATATATAAGTCTATATATATATATATATATATATACATATATAAAAATTTGAACGAATGGTGGTTTTGGCCTCTGGGGACATCAAAATGAAAAAGTAAATCAGTCCCGGGTCTAGGTCTTACCGTGCCACCTACGGTAATAGCTACTTCCCTATAGGGAAATTCGCTAAATAGCTACTTCCCTATAGGGAAATTCGCTAAAAAAGGATCAGATATGTCCCTATCAGAACAAGTCAGAAATATGTAAAGCCACTTAATGCAAGTTAGTGCATGTCAATACTTGTCTCCCAGATGTCATTTGTCAATTGTGGCCCTTAGTAAAACAATGTTAACATTCCTATGAATTTTTTTTATTCTTTTACCTAACCCGCCATGTTAAACTTCCCTATCCCAAGCGTGATGTATACAACTTCCTTACTTCTCGAGTGATGTAAAGTTGAACAAAAACTCACTCGGTGATGTAATGAAACCCATTTAAATAACATTGAGTGCTTAACTTAAAAAATATACCTCTATGGAGGCATCGACGTTCAACGCTAGAAATCAGCTGTGCGCTTGTATGTTATTGTTATGTTTTAAAGTATTTTCCTAACCTAGCTTTTGTTTGTAAAAGTAGGTTACTGTTAGACGATGAGTGAAATGGATAATGAAAAATATTGTACGTAAACCCATGTATATTGTCGGGTCAGGTAAAATCTTGTACGTTACACGTTGCGCAAGAGCGTGTTTACATCTCTTAGGTGTACCTGCGTGATGTAAAAACGCTCTTACTACACTTGTAATGTAAATAGCTATTTGTTTTGTCGAAAAACACCAATTGTGTCACTATCCTTAGTGACACAATTGGTGTTTTTCGACAAAACAAAAAAAAATTGAAAGTCGTAGATATAGACAAAATTACAAAGCTATTTAAAAAACCAGAAGATATAAGTCGTCAGCAGGTTTCTCCTGGTAAAACAGATGATACAGACGATTGTGCAGAGTGGCTTAACTATGACTGAAGTTCCATTCTAATTCAAACCTTATATTTCTGTAATACGTGAAGGCTACACTGTTTTAAGATTGAACATTATTTTCAGATAACTTAAAAACTAAATTTGTCTAAAGAATAAGGCTTACTCTTCTTTGTGAGTCGTAGGGGAGTGTGTGAGGTTTAACTTGAACGACGGTGGCTCGTTTTCTACCTTGCGGTGACATGTCTCGACGTGACCGATGTCTCTCTGCCATCTCTATGTCAGGAGGAGGGCTAGAAAACACATGTGTTTATTAGACTCATCATTCAGTTTGAGATTTTGTGTTTCAATTGTATCTAAAGTGTTCAGGATGCAGAAACATAATGTGATGTGATATTTAGTTTGCAGTAGTTTTTTTTATCCAATTTATGTGCTATTGAAAAATTGAAACTGTTTAAGAGATCTGTAATATTGGTCTCGTGCTTAAGGTCTGAACTGTCTTAAGTATGAAAGTAATGTTTTTAATCATGGTCCTCTGAAATGCCTTAGGCACTAAAATTAATTCAAATTATTTCCTACTGGAGAACGAGAGCACCAGCACACAATGGTCATGCCAACACAAGATGGCTCAAGCGAGACCCATCTCTCAAAATGAATAAATTTGATTGTTTTCCTATTTGATGTTCCTTGTTTTGCCTCCTAGTTTTGTATTTACAGTTTTGCATAATTGTTCTTGGCTAGGTTTGGTTACTAATTTTGTTATTTTGTTATGTTTTAAGTGCTTTCTTACCTGGGATGGGATCGCAATCCAGATCCAAATGTCAGGAAAACTTTTTTTCTCTAATTGTAATAAAAAATGTCCGCAATAATATCTCAAACAATTTGTATTTCTTGTTCCTCTTACCTGGCAGAGCTACCGAGACTGCTGACAGAGGCTCCGTCCGCTACTCTCCTCTCCCGTGTGTCGTCCAGGTCAGAGGGGTCGGAGTCCGACAGGCGTGAAGTCGTGCTCGGTGGCGACAGGTGGTCAGTGGGCGTCAGAGCAATGTCAACATCCTCAACCGCCTGCGTAAAATTTCCAGATGTTATTAAATTAATAAAATGTTCTTACTGATTGAAATTTTTTCAGGCGTAACAGTTTTGTAAAAAATATAGAGCGCCTGTTTGTCAATCTAACTCTGAATGTAACCAAAGCGCTACTTTCATAATTGATTTTAAGTTTTTTTGGTTATTGAATTGGACTAGTGTCGATTTGATCTAACGGCAATTTTGAAAAACAAGAAATAGGATCATGAATAGATTAATGAAAATTTAGATTTCTCATGATATACTAATTGGGCTAGAAGCTCATGTATATACTATATGTGGTCCACAAGTACACGCTATTCGCTTATTGTGACTGACAAATTCAATTCAATATTTGTCTTCAATAAAACAGGGACTATTATTTAAAAACTATTGTATAATCAATCTTTTAGTCTCTAAAGAATACAGCCTATTTGACAGCTTTAAGATCAATATCCAAAATAAAGATGAAAATATTGAAAATGTTTCTAAGAACTAAGGTTGTTGATTTAATCCTGAGAGAGTTCCAAAGTGTTTTGATGGTTCAAAACTGGACCCAGCTACATTGGGTTTTTTATAAATGGTCCAAGCTAAAGAATCAGAATTATCTTGGTCAGAAACAGAAATACTCAATCAAGACTCATCCTTCAATAATCTTCCCATTCTTCACCTTTACACCGAGTGTCAGCGTCTAATCTAAAATCTAACTCAGAAACATAATTAATGAATTGAGATAATTCACAGTAAAGTTAATACTCACATGTGGTATTAGAACTTCTTCGTGTGGACTAAGATGAAACCACTCAGGTTCGTTGTCCAGAAGCGCCACACTCAGTTCTACCATAACCTATAACAAAATTGAAAAATCTCAATAAACTGCTCTAAAATGTTGGAACCTGTTGAACAATTTTCTATTGTTGTTGATTAAGGTGCATTTTAAAATTTGATTTAGAATCGGTTGGTTTTAGCACAGTCAGAGCACTGTATTTACTTATGCAAACAAAATGTTGCTAACTATCGAAACTCGAAACACAATAGAATAGAATTTAATTTAAAAAAGGACAAGGTAAAATTGTATTTCCTGATTATGTATTTAATCAGTACTATACTGTACTATTGAAAATGCATTTAATGAACATATAATAGCTTATAGTGAAAAATGTTTTTCTGTTCATTATACGAGCATAAACACCCAACATAATGAAATTTGACTGTACTGAACTGATACATCATGGCATTACATTATATTAGATTGAATAACAAACTTTGACACTAATTGGTAATTAGTTTTGAGATATAAGAATGGAGAAAACCTTGTGATATTTAAAAATAAATTATACATATAGTACCAGTAATATCTTTGTATCAACAAAATTAGATAGAGAATCGAGAATCAAGCATAAAAGGGAACGAAGGAATCTGTTTCAAGCACCAGGCGCAGTTGCTGAAGCAAATCAAAACAGACAAGATGATGATGTTGAAAAACAGACCGAAAAAAAGATGATCCCAAAGAGAGGAGGGACATGTGATAAGATATAGTAAAACGGACATGATAAGAAACCAATGATGTAAAAAGACTCTCTGGACGCAAAAAAAATGGAAAGATGAAATAGCTAAAGACGTCCGAATGTTGTGAGCCAATCAAGAGTATGTACAGGATCAGAAACGGAGGCAGTTAGTTGGCAATGGCTATTGGGGAATGAGTAATATTTTTAAAGAAAGCTAGTGACTAGATAAGGAATTATATTGAAAAGTTTGCTATTTTGAGGGTTGAGCTAGAGAAAATTATAATCCAAAGGAAAGATATGCAATAAAAGGTCGCAAAACATAACATTGGTTTTTTTTTGTAAAAGCCCTTTGCTTAGGAATATATTAAGAGGGAATAGATGTATTCAAATAATAAGTAATTGTATAATAATAACTTAATTGTCAAATAATAACTGTAACTGTAATTGTAATTGTGTAGTTGTCAAATAATAAGGGTAATTGTATTCACAGTTTTCTTCTGAAGAATCTCCTTGTTGGGATGAAATATCAAATTTATTGTTTTGTGAACTTTTTATCTGTGTTTTTAACAACCTCTTTTCTTAGGTAAGTTAGCTGATATAAAACATCATTGATATCCCATCCTAATGTTGGGCTTTTCCAGAGATTATTTCTTCTGAATAATTCCTAAAACACGAGTGAACCCACCTCTCCCAGGAAATGGTTGGTCCCATAGTGCACATAGTCCCACACCGTGATCTCTACTATTCTGAGTTTCAAATCCGCTCTTCTGATCGACGAGTAGACAAAACTCTGATTCCACTTTGGGTCGTTTGTATTTGCTAATGTTTTTGTTCTTCTTTTAGATTTTTCACTGAAACACACACAAATGATTAATTATGTACAAAATACTGGTTGAAAACTCTAACATTTTGTGGATTACCAGGGACTGAACACTCTAACATGTCCTAAATCAGAGTAACCGCTAGCTCATGAGTTGTATACAATAATATTAATAAAGATCCAAGCTAAGTTCCAAGATCCTATGGAAACTTATCTTCAAATAAGCAATAAACTACCTCGAAACGATAACGATAACATTGAAAAATGTATATATATTTAATACGCTACATGGCAAGTTTGTTCCCGATAAGGCTTTTTTGTTTAAAGACTAACATAAGCCTACATAACTTACATCACACATCTGGGTGCGCAGATTTACAAACTAGCTTTAGATTTTCAATTCAAACCATGAAACTCAAAAGAAACGCGATAAAGCACTTTGATTACCTGTTTTGTTTACTTTTCTAATTTAAAATTCAGAATGTCCCTGGAGCTGTTTCATCTTACCGTAGGGGGATAGTGTTTATAGTTTATAGAGCGTAAATATCTCAACCCTGATCCCTGAGCCACATCTCTTTGTTTGGTCACATGACTTTCTTTGTTTATCCAGTGTTTTTATTTTAATGTATTGTTATTTTTGACACGAGTTTTGGTTGAAAGAGGTTCTACTGTTCGATACAAACCCATACCTTCTATCAGGTAGGAGGAAGAGTTTGGCGTAGGGATTGCGAGGCTGTCCGTTACTCCGGGGCATCAGACCAGCCGCACACACTAGTGTCACTACCAGCTGTAGCGCACCTGAGTCAAACCACAGCTTCACCTGCGATACAACAATATATAACTACGTGAAAATATACTCTTGGACAATACCATTGGCCGGACGGAGATATGACCCGGTGCTGTAGAGTATACTTAGCTCAAGTCTATGATTTAGCGCTCACATCCATGGTTTTGTAAACTCTCACTCCCCTACTTCCCTACAAGCCACAGCTCCAAACGATATCCCAATTTGGAGCCACCATCTTATGCTGACATGTCTATATGTTTGCTTTTGTTATTTGAACTAGGCCTTTTTATGGTTTTCTTTCAGGATTGTGTTGTAATTTTTTACTTATGCTATATAAAGTTTTCTAAACTTTTTTGTGATTTTCCGGCTTTGGCTGAGTTTGAATACTATTTCAGTTATGTTTAGGGTACTTTAAAAAACATAAGCAGAGGTTGGATTCCAGATCCTATAAAAATGTAAAAACTTTGTTCGCTAATTGTAATGAAAAGATTCTGCAATAGTCCCAAAAACTAAACAAAACTACCATCACCAAAAACAAATTTTTAACAAAGAGGTATGTTGAAAATTTTATTGAAGAGGATTGAGAAATCAATAAAACCAGTTAACTTGTATGAGTACAGTATATGCTGAAATATTCAATTTGAGCTGAAGCATACCCTTCTGTAGGGATGTTTAGACCAGTGACAGGAATCCCTTTTTTTATAACAATAGGTTAATTTATCTGGCCAAATCCTTATCTGGCTAGGGTCTTGGTGGCAGCCAGATAGAGCTTCATCAATAATTAATAACAAAAGGTTGATGTTAAATAATAACAAACCAGGCTCTGGACTATTCCCTTACAAAAAACTAAAAAAAAAAATCCAAAAACGTAGATGAACACCAAAATAAGAAATAAAGAGAACATTTAAATCATGGATGAAACACATACCTGTATGCGGCCGCCGACGCTGCTGTTGGTGAAGGCAGGCATGCGGTGTGACCTGGAGGAGGCATGTAGCTCCGGTGACCCGGGGGAAGTGACCAACACACTCGGCTTGTCTTTGCGACCTCCGCCTTCGTAGGTGTCTGAAACAACATCTCAGCGGTTACACCAAACAGTCAAACAAGGAAAGCAAAATCCAACAAACATGACACTTGTATCCCGGCAAGGGTTAAAATTCTGTTTATTTTATTTATGTTATTGCACAAACCGGTGGCAATTTGTATATGCATGAAACGAAAACGATTGAAGGGAAAATCATCCAAGATTTAGTGAACAAGCATTAATCAAACCTGTTCCTCTTGAATCAAAGTCAGACGCTAACAACTTGAGTAGCAACACATTTTTTAGGGATAAAACACAGAATGGTTTGGATATTGTTTTAGAACTGACTGAAAAACTGGTTTTCAGATAAAACATTAAGAAGAATTTTTTCACCCTACAAGAAAATACGAGTCTTTCAAGGGTAAATAGAGATGATGTTGGTAGTTATAACGTTTACTGTGACTGTTTGTAAAAATTTCAACATCCCGTCATCATCTCTACTGTTCGGTGCACCAAATTGGTCGGACACTTAAAGACAGTGAAGTGTTGTTGCTGTGTAGGAGACATGAACCATTGGTGACTGCGTTGAGATAGTAAATCAATCTGGTCTCGAACAAAGCACGCTACCAATCACAGGGTTCAGTAAGATTCCTTCTATCAGGACGGTTTATTTTTCTAATTATTTTAACTCATCCAATGTCAATCAAGGCACCAGCAGGGCCGCTTTAATAAATGGGCTCGGGCCCAGGGGATTAAGAGGTTTACGGTTTGTTGGGGCGTAAGGAAGAGAAAGATTCCCACACAAAGTAAGTAGAGAGGGGTGCAATTGTCTCTTGAGCCCAAAGCGTATCACTTGCAAAGCACAGGCCTGGGCACCAGCACGGACAAGAAACAAGTTTCTACTACTGCACTAATACGTTCAATAATTGAAAGATGATGTGTTTAACTGATGTACTGATTTAAGACCATATGTGTATGTGAATTAATGATCACCTGTTATTTTGTATTTGTTTTGTTTGTATTAGTTTTTCTGTTTACATTAAAGTATGAGTTTGATTTAACTGAACTAATGTAGTTAACTTATTATTTGAAAATGTAACATTGGCGACGAGAAAAACGAAGAATGGACGGACAAGAGTTGAATAATCTAAAGAAAGCACGAGCTGTAGTAAAAGGACAGTTGAAGAAGGCAGAAAGATAGACTTCAAACTCTTCAGAATGCTTATGCAGTTTTGTCAAACCTCAAATTCATCTGGCTGTGATGCATACTCCTTGATGTTTGGCAGGAAGATTCGAACACACATAGCTCTTTTACATCCTACACGTAAACAAGAAACTGAACATGTGAAGCAAGCAACAAGATATTTTAAGGAGGGAGACAGAGTACAGGCGAGAAATTATTCAAACTCAAAAGACAAGTGGTGTTTTGGAAGAATATTGGAAAGGGAAAGCAACCTTCTGTATAAAGTACAAATGGACGATGGAACTGTCTGGAGGCGTCATGTTGACCAACTACTCAAATGCAAAATAACGTTACCAAAACATTTCAGAGGGGAGAATTGATGTGTTTAACTGATGTACTGACTTGACCATATGAGTATGTGAATTAATGATCACCTGTTATTTTGTATTTGTTTTGTTTGTATTAGTTTTTCTGTTTAAATTAAAGTATGAGTTTGATTTAACTGAACCAATTTAGTTATTATTTGAAAATGTAACAAAAGATATAGTGAATTTAATGAGAAGAATTTACAGCGTTTACCTTAAATATAATTTTGACAAACTTATGAAGAACTTATTCAAGACCAAGTGTCAAGTTTGTTAGATTCCTGTATACAGTAACAATTCCAAAATTTCCTACAAGTATTACTTTTTGTAAATATACAGTTAAAGCATTCAAGGAAAACAGTTTTGTTCAACAGCGTTAAATCAAATGTCACAATCCAGCCAATCAAGCAGCAAGTATACAACACAAACTGAATCCAATGAATCCTTATTTAAACATGGAATTATTTGGAATGCTGAAAAAGAAAAGCAGCGTTAGTCAAGGTTAAGAGAAGTTGCTGGTATTGAAACTACGGTGATACCTGCAAAATACACTAAAGGTTACTGCGCAATGAACTTCAGTAAGGAATAGAGTAGCGAACAATACTTAAAACATACGGGAGGGAGTAAGGAATGGCAAAGTACGATGAATCTGAAAGCAGCAAATGTTAGCAAAGAAACAACTAGTTTTTGCGAGCCAAATAAAAGCAGCTTTCAATATGTAGAGCCTCAATAAATATGCTTTGTAGCTCTTACAACAAATAAATTATGGATTAACTAACTGTATTATCTAAGATATTGGTTATCGAAGAGAAACAATACTGTTCACATATAGATATAATATATAGTGTTAATAGCAACATATGAATAATGTTGTTACCACAAGATTTCTTGACACCAAAGTATGATTTGGCAAGTCTTGTATAAAGGAAACAGCATTCATGGTTTTTGTTCAAACAAAACCAAGACACAGTTTTAAAGTTAAATTAGTTAAAGGGCAGTTAGAATAGAAAAGTAAATTAATTGAAGAAACATAGCCTATATTACATTTCTTCTTATTTTCTTACATAAACACCTTGCCATTGAAATATACCCAATTAAATGTACAAAAAAGTATGAATCGTGTATACATTTTCTTTTTACTACCGGCACCTTAAATCTTAATACAAGAGACAATTAATTTAATTTAACCTTTTGTGATAGAATAAGCTTTTACATTAACAGAAAACCTTGCATTTAGAGTTTAAAACATATCTACCCTACAATATTATTTTAAAAATATATTAAAACATGACTTTGATAGGCCTAAAACTAATCTAAACTACTTGGCAAGAATAAAATACTAGAACTTTACAGTAAAAAACCAAGTTATACCGGCTCCAAATTTTACAACAAAATTCCAAATGAAATTAAATCGGCAAAAAGCATGGTCGGATTTAAGAGGGGTCATAAAACATTTCTCATCAACAAGGTATTGTATTCCCTTGATGAACTTTAAAATTTTTAGAAGGAGCGTTAATTTGTAATTTGTATAAACTTATGTTAGATTTTAAGAACTTTGTATCCATAGAATATAACATTGTAATATAAAAACATTTAAGAGAATGACACTATTCATGTACTTTGTGCTTCAATGAATAAAGAAATATTGAATTGAATTGAAAATGTATTTTTTCGACTAGGCCTACAACTACTGAAAAAAATACATCCATAAATTAAATTTAGAAATTTTTACAGTAGGCAATGAGATTGGAATTGAAAAAAAGTGCCTCAATGTCTAAAATATAGTTTGTTTGTTTGTGTCTAAACTAAACACAATCTTAACGTAAAATTTTAGTTTTGTACTGTGCAAACATCAGTTTTATTGGCACAAGTATCATATCAAATAAATAGAGTAGGTCTACAAAAACAGACCTTCCAACTCTCCCGCATTATGCGGGAGGCATTTTGATGTCCACTCCCGCTCTCCCGCTTTTAGTAGAAAAACTCCCGCATATCTGATACTATACTCACAATAGGGTAACTTTTTTGGAAAATCAGGAATTTTTCATCGCGTTAACGTTAGGTTGATAGCTCTGCGAGACTCGGAGTCTGCCCGGGCGGGACTGTTGCGGAACTGTTGGGTTCTACACCATCCCAATTATTTAACCTACTCATTTGCTTGTTAAATATTGTAAAACTTGAAGTCTGATTTGATTGTGTTGCATGTCTATGATGCTACAGTGTGTTAGACTAAACAGTTTTAATTTTTATTTTCTTAGGGTAAATTTTTTACTCTTTATAGTTATTGTAGCAAATGGCAAGCAATAATTGACATGTTAAATTTAGTTAGATAGCATAAATACGTCTTAGCAAACAACAGAACTATATATATATATATATATATATAGAGAGAGAGAGAGAGAGAGAGAGAGAGAGAGTTTGAGAGGCTACAGGACAGAAACATGTAATTATATTTCCTCCACGGTTGATGCATAATGTTTCTCACAAATCTATGAGAGGGTATGTTTGGTAAATATTTTATAAATTCAAATTGGGTGTAACTTAGAGGCACACACAACACTTAAAATTACAAATAACATAAGCAATGCAAAAGTAAATAAGTATGTACATTTTGAAGCCTTTAGTTACCGGTAACCAATACCTACTCAAATCTTTTACAAAGACAGATTAAGATCACTTTGATACTAAGATGAGTTACGAGCAGTAATGTTTAAGAGCCTACAGCTTTGATTATTCTTCCATAAACAATCAGCCCTGATCAATCATTCAGGTGGTGACCAGGAAGAATCGTACCTAAGCTCAGTGACCTTTCTTAATTGGATTATTCCACGAGATAATCTTCAACGAACTATTACAATGATCAAAGACAACCTTCCAAAAATATTAATTGATACACTTGCACAGTTGATCAAAACTTCACATAAGCCGAGTCGTCAGCAATACAGTTTCGCGACCCAAGCAACAGCTTGAAAAGTCTATAGTAAATGTTAAATAACAATCTATATATATTTCTTTATATAATTTCTAAAGTACTTTTTTTGTCGGTAGGCCATAGCTTCCTTAATTCTTGACCAATTTCTTTAAATGAAGTGTCATTTTAAAGCTTTTTTTACCAACTATACCAGAAAAATATACAAATCACTCATTTTTCAGTAGACAAACGAATTGTCTTGTGTACGGTATAATGAAGTAAACATCCTGTTTACATGGAGCAGCTGTAATGTATATAAAAAAAACATAGTTGTATTAACCATTCACAGGATCTGTTCAAGTTTAAAGTTCTATATATCAATCTAAATTTAGCCACTGTTAGTTAGAAGTTATTGGTACTAATGCTATATATATATATGAGTTATATTTATAGCTTGGCTTGGTAAATTTAGGTTGGCGTAGGTATTTAAGAAAAATTTTTAGTTCATTTATATCAGCGCTCTGTGTTGGTAGCTTACGTCAACTACGCCGTGTTCATTTTTTTCATTGGGAACAGGTTGTCTACTTTCAATTAATAGTCAAAGGTAAATTGCCATTGTTATAGTGATATTTACTGAGTAGATCCCTAATCACACTTTGGAAAAAATTATAAATTGGATATACTGTAATAATCAAAATTGCGTAGTAGGATGCATTCCGTTGTCCTGAATACAATATGTTGCATAAAAAACCCTTGGAGTTCATGACATGACGGCATATTTAATTTGATGTGAGGGTAATCATGTAAGAGGCCAACTTTTAAAGAATACAAAACTACCATATCAACATTTCTTTATGAAATCATTGCTTTCATAGGTTACCAAGGCCTACACACAACATATAACAAGCCTAACCTTTGTGGGAGGTGGTGGGGGAGGGGGGATATTGGCCGCGGCCACGTCTGTTGGGCAGCAGCCGAGTCACTATCAGCTCCACCTGCGGCTCTTGCTTGGACTCGGCAATAATGTCAGTAACTTCCTGGTAGCTCTTGCCTTGCAACGATCGTCCGTTCCACTCGACAACCTCGTCACCTGCACTCAAAAAAGTATTGTTGATTAGACAATAGACAATTGAAAAAATTGATTTCTCAGGAACATGATCAAAAATGTTCATAAAGAATGATGGTAAATTGTTCAGAATGGATAGCGCCCTTACAATCTCTAAACACACAGATCCTTGAAATTGAGTGAAAAAATCAAAATGTAAACAACAACAATCAGAACAAAATGTGGCATTAAATTGAATAGAATTATTAAATTAGGTGTAAGTCTCAAATACTAAGCTAAACAAACTCTTGATCTAACAAAACACAGACTTGTAGTTACTGCCGGTAGGTTGAATGTAAACCTCAGAGAAGGTCTGGAAATAGTACAGTAATGCAAAGTCTTCTGGAGAAGGAATATCTTATTTTAAGCATATTACATTCTGCAAGATAACCTAAAAAGTGGATTCTCCTGGTGTGATACCTCGAGTTGTAGTTTATCACCTCCTGCCATTATGCCTTTCAAGTGTGATATAACGATCCTGGATTAAAAATTGCATCGTACCTTAAAAACATCAGGAGCTGAAATCTTACTGTTCCCAACCCCAACCCTTCAACAGTTACTTGCAACTGTTGTCATATTTTAGTGTTTATGAGTCTTGGCTTTTCACCTGCACAAGGAAGTGCAAGAACCTTCTTACAGTTAGAGGTTAACTGTAAGAAAGGTCGCCTCAATAAAGAAGGATTTTCATTTCATTTCATTTCAAGGAAGCAATGGCCAGTAACAATGGGTAGATCAATGCTTCTAGACGTCAAATGGGGCAACTCATCTAAGTGTAGATTATATTACAAAGAGCTGTGATTCAGCTTACTTGTACTTGCTTGATATTTGAAGTAAGCATGATTGTCATGTTGTGCTTCTGATCCCTTTATTCTTCCAAGTGTTCTTCCAGGTTATAATTTTTTTTTCTCCATCAGATAGGCCTACTTCTCTAGTGGCTAAAATTTGTTACAACCTTGAATATTTTTTGGCACTTTTACACAATAAACACACATTTTTGGTCGCACTTCTTACAGCCATAGGATAGACCTATTTTTCTTGTAAGGACGGAAACTCATCAAGGGTTAACTGTTACATAAACCACACATAGCACATAGTTTCTCGTTTCTCTGTTGAAAATGCCGTTTAACGAAGAGGTCCAATAGATCTTATTTTATTCACCTCACAAATTTCAACGACAAAACACAAAACTTCGCAAACACTGCACATAACGTTGTTCATGTTCACCGCCATTGCCATCAGTATTCGATTCGATTCGATTCGGTATTCCGGATTCCGGTTGGGTTAAATCGGTTCCTGTTATCGTTATCACTACTTAGTTTTTTTGTTAATCACTTCATTTCATTTCATTACAATCTGATCTTGCTCCGATTTCGGTTCAGAGTCAGTCAGACCCAGTCCTTCGCATCCAGTACAGGACGAGTCAGTTCCAGACTGAATTATTGGAGTAGTACCGGTAACCGGTTGTGTCCTGCGTCATCAGTGTTCGTGGATTCAAATAATTTCACAAAGCATCGTTGTTATGAAAGTGTACTGTATTAAATATTGACTTTTCAAAATCAATGATGAAATCAAGTGTTGCCAGTCCGAATCGTGAAAATTCACATGTGAGCTTGTTAAAAGTACCACTCTTTTTACCAACATTTCCTCCAGATATATTTTTATAAGAATATGTACGCCTCCCTCAGTCCCTCGAAAAACAGAGTTAAGAAATTAAATTCATTAAGAAATTGTCCATGAGGGCATTTTGTAAAGTATTACGACTATTATCTCGTAACCTCAACATTATAGGCATAGACAAAACATACTCCAGTATGTTTTATCTATAGTATAGGGTTAAAGCCTAAGAGAATCTGCACATCTAATCTGCACAGTCTACAGATCAAAATTGTACTGCAAATTAGAGAATGTGGGAAAGAATGCAGCAGACTTCGACTTTAGAACCTTATTGGAAACACAAGTTTGAATGTGGCGGGATGACTGCAACGCTAGTAGTTCGCCGCTGGGTACAGAGATGGTGCTGATGTCTAGTATCAGTTTTCTGTAATCTCTGACCTAAATCTTCTTACATAACTAACCACTGTGGAAGGGCGATTCTGCACCTCTGCAATACAATTATTTGGTTTATTTCACGTTATAAATACTTTTGTGTTTACAGATGGAACTAGCCAACAATTAAGTGTTATATTGTTGGAAAATTGAATTTACCAATCAATTGAATAATTAGTTTTGCATCTACGGTGTAGGTAATGTTAAAATCTGGATTACGTTTGTGTTATTTGGTTCACGATGTAAAACATACCACATAGACAAAAATTCGAATTTTGATTAAAATCCAAATCATCAGTCCATCGAGTAATAAAAAAAAATATTTCAGCCAGCGCTCTTTAATTATTAATTTAATCGAAAACGAGGTTTCTTTCAACAGGGTGTGTTATTGATATTACCGGTACGTGTTTCGTTTGTATATTCCTGATAGCATAAGAAATAGGCCCCTTCTCTTCGAAGCACTTTTCTAGTTCAAATTCACTGACTGACGTATGTTTCTCAAACTATTACAGTTTTATTATCAGATTTTTGAAAAGTCCTGCTTGCACATTACCATGCAATTACTGCGCCGAAAGGAGGACAGACATGAAAGACGTCATCGCTGTAAGTGCGTGGTCTGACGTCAACGATCAATGTCTTCTCGGGACGATCATTTCAAACTCTTTGATCACTCACAGTGTGGTTGTCGTAGTCGAGTGAGCTTGTAAAAGTGACGGATTACATCCGAAGATAACACCCCCACCGCAGTAAACCTGTAGACTCGAATTTATTTCCTGTTAGGATCTTGACTAAAATATTTCTATGGAGTCATGTTTATGCAGTATTTAATTGACAATATGTTTAACGAATACAGTACAGTAGGTTTGCTACTAGGGGGAAGGGAAGGGTATTTTTTATCAAATGTAAACAGTATAGGAAAAAATAAACATATTTGCTAAATTTATTTTATATTTTCATAAAAAAGCAAACTATAGCAGTTTCCTTTACAAACGTACAGTATTTTTTAGAATTACTCCGCAACTTTAACCATTACAACAACGCATACATCATTGTTTGTTTTTAAGCTCTTACACGGTGGCTGCAATTTTAATGGTAAACATTTGATAAAAAGTAATTTTTTAAACCCCAAATTTAAACTCTAAAATCTATGTTTTTATTTATTAGCCTACTTACTGCATCCATCCATTGTTTTCAAACCATAAGTCGTATTGGATATGTTTTAAATAGTATTTTTGCATTTCCAATGCAGTCGGCGGCGGCGGTTGAAACCTAATCTTGTGACGCAAACTACTAACATCTCTGTTTACCCGGTTTCTGATCTGCCAATATCCGCTTGGATGCTTTCCTGACCTTTATAACCGCAGAGTAAATATTTCTTTAAACATTTTGATACCTTTAGGTTATAAATGTTGAGGACCAAAATCCTAAACGGTAAAATAAAGTTTGGAATGGATAATCAAAAGGTAAAAAACATTTTTTTCATATTATTTAAAAGAACTACCCAACTTTCTAGGTTCTAGCCCACAATGATCCCTGAACATTTTCGGATACCTGATCACTAGGCCTATGAGATTATGCTACTATTAACCAGGGGTTTATACTAATTAATGCAAGGAGTGTGTAAGAACAATACGTAATACACAATAATATATAGATGTAGCTCGTTTTTTTCGGCAGGAGCATTTCTCAACCTGCATTTTCCTCTAACTTCAGTAACCGCCCTGCTACTATACTAGTACACCCACGTGCTGCGTGATAATGTCAAGGAACGCGCGCGGACAGGAACAGCGTGGTTGATGGAACGCAGGGCAAAAGTGTTTTAAGTGGCTCCGGCAACGGCAACCGCGGAGCACGAAGCACGCCGAGTAAGGCCCCGTTTATGCACCAAGAGCGGGAGCGGTAGCGACAGCGGAAGCGATTTCTAACACCATTGAGTTAAATGGGGCTGTTTATGCACCAAGAGCGATAGCGATAGCGGTTGACCTCCCGCTGCGGTTTCTAATTCGCCCGCTGTGTAGTTAGAAATCGCAGCGGTTGCTTGGGATAGAGCGGTTTTCAACTACATTGAGTCAAATGGGACTGTTTATGCACGGCGGGAGCGGGCGCGGCTGAAGCCAGGGTTGCCAACTTGACCCACGCGCACGTGCACTTAGGACAAATAGTTGTGTTAATTATTTGGCAGAGTTTGAGTTGGCAAGACTGTGTCCCCCTTCCATTCTCCTTTAACCAACCGCTACCGTTATCGCTCTTCGTGCATAAACAGCCCCATGCACAGCGGGAGCGGGCCCGCTATCGCCCCGCTCCCGCTCTTGGTGCATAAACGGGGCCTAACGTGCTTAATCGAGTCACTAGGAAAAGACAGCTTTTAGTTCTATGATAAAATACAGCTGGATCCTGTTTCAAACGATCAAAAAGCAAAAGACTTTTCTCGTAATCACACTGGTGATCTTTATATCGTTAGACGCACATTATAACAATTCAGTTACTTAGCTATTTAGCCTATCATCAATGTCCTGTACAACAATTCCAACTAGTCAGCATACACACAGACGAGCACATCAGGCAATTGATGCCAGTTATACACAGGGGTCACTGCCTTCGTACCTTGGGTATTTATGTTGCCAGACAGATGTTGTTGTTAATTCTGTGAACCGGATTATTGATGAATCTCTCAAAGATAATCCGCTTAGATTAAAACTGTAAAAATAATTCAATATTTTCGTATGAACCGGTGATTTTTGGTTTTCTGGTTGACCAACTTTTCCCTCGTCTACTTACACCAACAAGGACAAAAGCACAAAGAATGAATCTGAATGACTTCAGCTGAAGACTTTTGAGAAGTTCGAGAAGAATAAAAAACCACGATACAGTACCTGGCCTGAGCTGCCCCTCTTTGTCCGCCGTGCTGCCTTTCTTGACCTTCTCAATTATTGCACCCCGGCCGCCCCCTGGTAGAAGTTGTCCTCCCACCACCTTCAGCCCTAGGATACTCGTGGAAGAGGACGGCCCTCCACCATCTGCACGCTGGGTCTTCTTCAGGATCATGTGACCCGTCATTCGAGTATTGTCCTTGGATATTTGCCATGACAACGGATGCTGCAATTTTATAGACAGGAGCTCATAAGTTACACAGTGGTGGCTGAATCAGTTTGAACGTCTTGGGTCTTTCTTGTTTAAATTTGGGTTCGGAAAATGTGCTTGTCGATTTAAAAAATTCACATGAATCTTTGACAATACTTGTGTAGAAGGGGAATAGTATGTAGTGTTACACTAAGGAATGGGATTCGTCTTTTGAACGGCAACAGCTTGAAATATTTCGTCTTTAAATAGCACAATAACTTTTAATTAGTAGTGGCGGTGTCGTGGCCTTGTTTATGCACGCGTATTTAGTCGAGTTTGATAATTGATTAGGGTTGCTTCATTTGGAAAGATTTATTTTACAATACATAATTTGTTGATACAAAATGTCTAATGTTGTTGATAACTTATTTAACACTCTAATTATTAATAATAACATATGATTGATATTTACTTATTGCCAACATAGAACATTGAATAATTATGAAACATGTGGTCGATATACTATAGGCGGTACACGGTGGTAAAGTAGTGCACATCAAACAAAGAACTTGTTAAATACTGCGAGACAATTTTAACGGTCTGTTATTGAAATATACTTCATAAATTGCTAAATACAAGCTTGGATTAATCTTTGGAAACGATCCCAATGTTTATGAAGCAGAATATGATGAAATCTTTGAAGAAAAAATGGATAAGTCACCACGAGCAATGTTTTTCTCGCCTGTAGAGTACTTATTTTAATTTAGAGTTGGGAGAATTGTATGATACTCTGCATTAAAATTAAGTGGACGGGTTTCAGTGTATGCAAATATGTGTGTTTACAACCAATTTAAACAAAAAATGCAATGGTTTGAATTAAGAAATCAAACTGTTCGTAAACAAATTGTAATGAATCCAGAATTGCACAATGTTACTGTATATGTCGGTCGGATGGGCTTTATGATATACGAGCCGTAGTCTGTTGGCAAGAGCCTAGGGCCCCGCAATGCTGCAAGACAGGAGAGTTGCTTGGCGGGAATGGACTACAATCAATACGCGGGCATCGGCCGTCGTCTGCTGGCAGTCTCCCAGCAACTCGCAGACCGCTAAACCGTTGAGCATTGTTGCTTTGTGTCTTACAGTATATGTATGTAACAGAATACACGTATGCTGTCATTATAAAGTTTATTTTTGAATTATAGAAATTTCACCATTGCTCCTTCGGGTTTGGAAGGATGAGAAATTTAAACTATATACGGCAACATGTGTGTGCTTAATATAATATAATTTTTACTATTTTAAATTTATGTTTAATCCTTCAAAAATGAATAGTTGGAAAATTAGAATATAATCATATAGTACATAGAAACGTCTCCTAAGTTCTTATTGTATTAGGGGAGTTAGTCTTTAAAAGCATAAAAATTGTCTCTTGCATGCATTTGATTTAAGACTCTTTTCGGAGCATATTTATATTGCAATTTATTGATATGGCCAGTTATCAATCAAATGTCCAACAAATTATTCCTTCACGATTTGATTAGTTGAAGGATGTTCGAAATTATTTTTAACATTTATTTATTAAATTATTATTTTAAAAATTTAGAATGCAATCAGGTTCAACGTTTTGCATGACAAAATACAACAGCTTGTTTGCGAGGATGGTTTTCAAATCGTAGGATACAAATTTCAATAATAATTAATGGATAATAATAAATAATTATGAATATACACAAAAATTTATGCTAATGATGCTGATGCTAGAATAATATTTGTAAACTTATCTTAGATGTGTTACATAAAAAATATTCAATAGGTGACATTTGCCAATTCAAATAAACCTAATGTATAACACCTGATTAGATTATATTACTCTATGGTCATACTTAATAGCCTACCAGAGCTTTTCATTTAATTAGATATCATAATTTATTTGAATATTTAAAATTTATTTTGTATTGCCAAAAAGTATGAAAGTAATTAAGTATCTAGCTTAAATTCTATTGTGTTAAAGAGTTTTCATCTGTTTTGAATGTAAATATGTATGCACATTTTTAATTTAATTACTTGTTTTAAGATTTAGATGAATACCGGTACATAAAAATGCAGTTCATAAATCCATCGCAACTGCATATACATAACAATCACGACAAAAGTTGATTCACTCAATTACGATTGTTTATGTATTATGGTTATTGGCTTTGCAAGTGATTAAGAGTTCTTGAAATTAGTTTAACTAAGGCATTTTAGAATGTTAAAACACCATAATAGCTTTAACCATATCAAAGTTAATACATTGCAATAAAACCCAGACAAGAAAGACCCACGACTTAGTTAATATTCTACAGTATAAAAATTAAAATGGCTAAAAATAAATTATGCATCGACTTTGTCATCTAGAATACAAATGAAGTTTCCAAATTTGACTACCGTTAACAATTAGCATTAAAAATAATCTTCAAACAACAAAATATACTTTGCCAAAATCTTTGCAAATCTAACCCTCAGTAATACTTAAAGCAGCTTTTTTATTTTAATTAATTTAAAGCCAAAGTACATAATGTCAAGTAACTATATTTCTTAAAAATGAACAAACTAACCTCAAAACGACTAATATTATAGGACAAGCTTAAATACTGATTTAAAACTATTCACTTATATAATACACAGTACATCTAACATGAGTTACACAAGTATAAGCCAAACAGCAAGTAAGAAGTAAGCTTTAACAGGGAATGCGAACAGTAAATACAGTAGTACAGATATTACGATGCCCATGCGCATGCTGGGAATAGGAAAGTTGGAACGGACCGGGGGAGAGGAATAGGGGATCGGACCAGTGAGACTCCTTATCAAATATTGCAAGAATATTCATTCGTTGTAATGGTTTCAATTATTTAACCAACTAACTACAGTTAAACATAATTCCTTATGGATTACTTAACCTTGTAGACCAACTGAAGAGGTTATGTTGACATCTGGTACATGACGAGTACATTTTGATGTATACCGTTTGTTTTCTGTTACTCCACCAACACAAAATTACTTTGAACGAACTAAGGTGATTACTCACAAACTATTGCTTGTTTTCTAATGTTGTAGGGTAAAAAATAAACGAAAAAATTCCCCCCAAAAAAACTTAAATTGACCAATCCACACAAGTGTTTCCGAACATCTAACAAACATCAACATAGGCTTCCGGATTTTACAACATAAGTCAAGTCTACTTGTCGTATCCAAAATCAATCTCCCTGCATTCAGAGTATTTTTACATCTTTGAAAGAACTTGACAACTGATAATTTAATAAGCTACACAAAGATGGTAAATATAACAGACATAGCCTGATAAAATTCCCTAACAAAAGACTTTCCTACTTGTCTGATCTTGAACAAACCACATAAACCTACGTGGGTACAAATATTTATACACAATTGATAGACTTAAAATCTACAACTGACTTATTTTTTCAAGCTCCTGATATATTTCATACAATAAGTCTTAAAAGGCACATGCTTTCAGGGGAAATTGGTAATTTGAACAATCCTGCTTGGAAGGCAGTTTTGCACTTTGTGAACAAATCATCAGATGCATTTAGGATATTTTAATTTTACTTTTTGTGAGCAGAGCACGAATCATTACTTTTGTGGCTACAACCCACCTAGGTGCGTAGGTGAATAAGAATTCAACATAAGTGTAGAATGGAATTGAGATGACCTGTGCAGCTTGGTACTGAATACGATCAGCTGATTGTTAATACAGGACCATTTAAAAGCCTGATCGGATCGAACAGGTGATTTCCTGAATGTTAGGAGAGTATTATAACCACTCAGCCAAGGGTGTCTAAAGCAGTATCGGTGTTTTACCCTTTAAGATCTCTATTGTACCAAACGTTTTAAATGGTAAAATAGTCAAATTAATGGGCAACACAAACAGTTTGTTTTATTTGTTTATTATTATCCTTACATGGTACATCTTCACGTATAAATTGATACAATACTGTATATGCCTGACGATGAGCAAAGGTAGAAAGTAGTTTGGAGTGGTATTGACCGGAATTGTATGACATGTTTTTCACATTATGTCGCATAGTATAATGTAATTTATGTATCGTATATGAAGTAAGTTTAGTGTAAAACAAATTACAACTAGTTAAAACTTCCAAATCATTACTGAAACGCCATGCATTTACATTATTCTTATTATTATGTTTGTCATTTTCACTCTGGTATTAATTTTACGTATGAACATTAAAACTTATATATTTCTGTTACGTAATGTATGCATTATAATCCTCAAAAATATTATGGATTAGTTTGATTATTCATTGCTCCAGTTCTAGGCTTTTTATTTAAGTTGGCAACAGTTATCTGAACTAAGGCCAACCTGATCTCTCTCTCTGAGGTTTTTGTTTGTTGAAAACAGCTGATCAGGCTAGTTTTTACAAACATTGTCGCTTATCAACCTAATGTTTAATTTAATCCCAAACTGTGGAGTCTTCAAAATGAACTTTCCTCGCTTGAATGATAACGTAAAATAAAATAGTTGTTAATTACATTTACATACATTTTAATACGTCCTTCCAGAAAATACAATTATTAAAAATGATGTTAGTAATATCGATGTGCAGTATTACTGGGTTTATGTTCAACTCAAACTTCATTTACTAATTTAGATATAGAATCTCATGCAATTTAGTTAACATTGTTTGGGTACCGATACGTATTAGTTATTAGAAGGCAATTGTTGGCTCTGTAATGACTGAATTTTAACAGACGACAACAGTTTACGAGTTGTGAAACTTAAAAAAACATTAAGTGCACAATATGAAAAAATAGCACGATTGGAACGTTTAAGGAGACCAATATTAAGTATAAATTAACACCTGTGATGATTATGCTTACCAAATCAAATCATTATTACGAATGAGAGAGATATATTCAAAGCAATATTATGTATATTTTAATATGGTGCCACCTTTTGCCTGACAAGTTCCTTTCAAGCCAGTTAACTGTAATTGTAAATTAAATAAATACGACAA